GTGCTTGTATTCTACTAGCATTCTTCCTTGACTGCTGTCTCTGCTGAGTCACCATAAATGTATGAGATGCTATTATCCTAAACCTTGACAAAGGTGAACATCTGCAGCAGGTTGATGTTTATTGTCATGAGGTCCTCTGTGGCTCAATTGGTAGAGCACGGCGCTTGTAACGCCAGGGTAGTGGGTTCAATCCCCGGGACCACCCATACGTAAAAATGTATGCGCACGTGACTGTAAGTCGCTTTGGATAAAAGCGTCTGCTAAATGGCATATTATTATTATATATTATTATGAGTCTAGCCCTGGAGGCAGAACTGAGCCATTTCCGCTAGATGGGCTCTAAAGTCAAAATTGGCTTTATTGTAAAAATTTATGAAAACATAAATGAGCTTTTTGGTCTTCATTTAAGGTTAGGGTTAGAGGCATTAGAGTTAGCAGTGTGGTTAAGGTTAGGGTTGGGCATTAGGGTTAGCAGTGTGGTTAAGGTTAGGGAGAGGCATTAGGGTTAGCAGTGTGGTTAAGGTTAGGGAGAGGCATTAGGGTTAGCAGTGTGGTTAAGGTTAGGGTTAGCAGTGTGGTTAAGGTTAGGGTTGGGCATTAGGGTTAGCAGTGTGGTTAAGGTTAGGGTTGGGCATTAGGGTTAGCAGTGTGGTTAGGGTTAGCAGTGTGATTAAGGTTAGGGTTAGGCATTAGGGTTAGCAGTGTGGTTAAGGTTAGGGTTAGAGGCATTAGGGTTAGCAGTGTGGTTAGGCATTAGGGTTAGCAGTGTGGTTAGGGTTAGCAGTGTGGTTAAGGTTAGGGTTATGCATTAGGGTTAGCAGTGTGGTTAAGGTTAGGGTTAGAGGCATTAGGGTTAGCAGTGTGGTTAAGGTTAGGTTTAAAATCAGATTTTATGACTTTATGTCTGTGCCAGCTAGTGACCACTAGCAGAGCTTCCTCCAGAACAAGAATAATGACACCCTGCACATCTGCACATAATGAAACTATAGCTACCAAGGGTTGATGTAAGGACCTATGTACAGTGAGGGAAAAACGTATTTGATCCCCTGCTGATTTTGTACATTTGCCCACTGACAAAGACATGATCAGTCAATCATTTTAATGGTAGGTTTATTTGAACAGTGAGCGAGAATAACAACAAAAAATCCAGAAAAACGCATGTCAAAAATGTTATAAATTGATTAGCATTTTAATGAGAGAAAAAGTATTTGACCCCTCTGCTAAACATGACTTAGTACTTGGTGGCAAAACCCTTGTTGGAAATCACAGAGGTCAGACGTTTCTTGTAGTTGGCCACCAGGTTTGCACACATCTCAGGAGGGATTTTGTCCCACTCCTCTTTGCAGATCTTCTCCAAGTCATTAAGGTTTCGAGCGTGATGTTTGGCAACTCAAACCTTCAGCTCCCTCCACAGATTTTCTATGGGATTAAGGTCTGGAGACTGGCTAGGCCACTCCAGGACCTTAATGTGCTTCTTCTTGAGCCACTCCTTTGTTGCCTTGGCCATGTGTTTTGGGTCATTGTCATGCTGGAATACCCATCCACGACCCATTTTCAATGCCCTGGCTGAGGGAAGGAGGTTCTCACCCAAGATTTGACGGTACATGGCGCCGTCCATCGTCCCTTTGATGCGGTGAAGTTGTCCTGTCCCCTTAGCAGAAAAACACCCCCAAAGCATAATGTTTCCACCTCCATGTTTGACGGTGGGGATGGTGTTCTTGGGGTCATAGGCAGCATTCCTCCTCCTCCAAACACGGCGAGTTGAGTTGATGCCAAAGAGCTCGATTTTGGTCTCATCTGACCACAACACTTTCACCCAGTTCTCCTCTGAATCATTCATCATGTGGTCCTCTGTAGCTCAGCTGGTAGAGCACGGCGCTTGTAACGCCAAGGTAGTGGGTTCGATCCCCCGGGACCACCCATACACACAAAAAAAAATTTTTATGCACGCATGACTGTAAGTCGCTTTGGATAAAAGCGTCTGCTAAATGGCATATTATTATTATTATTATATTATTTATTATTATTATTCAGATGTTCATTGGCAAACTTCAGACGGGCCTGTATATGTGCTTTCTTGAGCAGGGGGACGTTGCGGGCGCTGCAGGATTTCAGTCCTTCACAGCGTAGTGTTTTACCAATTGTTTTCTTGGTGACTATGGTCCCAGCTGCCTTGAGATCATTGACAAGATCCTCCCGTGTAGTTCTGGGCTGATTCCGCACCGTTCTCATGATCATTGCAACTCTACGAGGTGAGATCTTGCATGGAGCCCCAGGCCGAGGGAGATTGACAGTTATTTTGTGTTTCTTCCATTTGCGAATAATCGCACCAACTGTTGTCACCTTCTCACCAAGCTGCTTGGCGATGGTTTTGTAGCCCATTCCAGCCTTGTGTAGGTCTACAATCTTGTCCCTGACATCCTTGGAGAGCTCTTTGGTCTTGGCCATGGTGGAGAGTTTGGAATCTGATTGATTGATTGTGCTCCTAATCTCAGCCCGTTACCTGTATAAAAGACACCTGGGAGCCAGAAATCTTTCTGATTGAGAGGGGGTCAAATACTTATTTCCCTCATTAAAATGCTAATCAATTTATAACATTTTTGACATGCGTTTTTCTGGATTTTTTTGTTGTTATTCTGTCTCTCACTGTTCAAATAAACCTACCATTAAAATTATAGACTGATCATTTCTTTGTCAGTGGGCAAACGTACAAAATCAGCAGGGGATCAAATACTTTTTTCCCTCACTGTATGCCCCCTCCGTTCCCACAATGGAGGTTGGGGAAGACGGTGTCCTCACAAACCATGAGGATTACAGGGGCAGGTTGATCTGAGCAACTGTGATTGGCTGGCACTGGCAGGAATTCCATCTCCTAAATGGCAGGTGACATTCTGATGAGCAGAACTCAGGGAGGCATGAAGATTGACCCAGTAGAGGAGCAGGAGGGGGACAACGCTTATGAAAGCGGGAGGGAGGGAGGGAGGGGGGTGAGAGAGAGAGAGAGAAAGAGTAGAGGAGAGAGAGATAGAGAGAGAGATAGATAGAGAGAGAGAGAAAGCAGAGAGAGAGCTGAGAGAGAGAGAGAGCGAGAGAGAGAGAAAGAGGCTCAGAGAGATCGCTCTCTCGAGAGATACTCGTCTTATCTCCTCTCTCGAGAATGACATAGAGAGGAGGAAGCGACTGAAGGGTCTCAGAGAGGAGAGAAATCGAAGCCTAAGGAATGTCTAGCCTAGCTGTTGCTAAGGAGAAAGTGTGATTTGCTGAGTCTACATTTACAGCACACCGCTAGGGAGATGAGGAGGAATTAGCATCTCATTGACCTGAGAAGGAAAGGCTGTTTCCATATCCTTGTGATCCAGACATGCTATTATTGTACAAACTAGACCTGGAATCAAACAGTATTTGAAATCTTTAGGTCTGGCTGCAATGTCAGATGGGTGGAGTTTGCATTGTTGGTTCAATTGCACAAGGCAAGCTCAATCACGCTATGATTAGTATTTGAAACGTAGTATTTTAAAGATTTCAGATACTATTTGAAGCCAGGTCGTGTGCAAATAGAAGACATTGTTTGTTTGTTACCTGAGTAGACATATCACCACATCCCTCACTGTCTCACTTTTTATCCCCATTTCTCTCTGAAAAAATATCCACCATCTCTTCTCCACCCTCTCTTTCTCTCCTCATATCTTGTCGCTGTACCCTCAAGACCTGTTTCTCTAGCCATGCCTCGTCAGTCCTGTCTGGGCTAACATCATCCGACTACCCTCTCTCCCCCTGTCCGTGCCCACCCCCCATTACACATGTATCAGTCCCCCCTGTGTGACAGGGCACAAAAACACCCACACAAACAGTGGGAGAAAGAGGGTTAGTGCCTAACTGTCTAACAGTCTAATACCTCACATTCAGAAGCTGGCGGAAAAACTCTTTTCATCCCTTTGTACTCTGAGATGAGACGACATCAGTCACACATGGAAGGATGATCATAACCAGAAAATAGGCTTTGACTGGAGATGTTTCTGTCATCTCTGTTACTGTCATCTCTGTTACTGTCATCTCTGTTACTGTCATCTCTGTTATTGCCATATCTTTTACAGTGCAATTTATTCCGTATAAGCCTTAGTAAACCGTGCAGGCAGTATGCAGGCCAGACTGGGCTAGTTCTCCCTGGTTGGAGCATGCAGGGCCTGGCATTCATGTGCCAGCAGATACAGTACACAGTGAGGGATAGGAGAGAGAGAGAGAGAGATAGAGAGGACAGGACGCCTCAGGAGCTATATGAGTTAAACCCAGGTCAGTAGGCATCAAGCTCCCTCCCTCCATCTCCCTCCTCCCCCCCTCATATCTCTTCTTTCCCCAAACCCCCCCCTTTTCCCCCTTTCCTTTCCTTCCCCCTTTCCCTCCCCTCTCCCCTCTCTCTCCCCATCTCCTCCCCCTCCCTCCCCCTTTTCTCTCTCTCTCTCCCCCCTCTTTTCTCTCTCTTTTCTCTCTCTCTTTCCCCCTCGCGCTCGCCTCCTCTCCCCCCTGCCCCAACCCCCTTCTTTTTTTCTCCTTCAATTTTTCTTATTCCCGCATAGGTTTTTTTTTCTTTCTTCTTTTTGATCACCAGAAGATCTCACCTCCAACCAGCTCCTTCTAACGCCACTACAAAAAAGAACCCTTGGCCCGGGCCAGGCCCGTAAGAGAGAAAAGGGGAAGAAGGAAAAGAGAGAGAAAGGGTGATAAAAAGTTTCCCTGGGGAAGGGGATAGGAGAGAGAGGAAAAAAAAGGGGAGGGATTTAGGGGAAAGGGGAATTTTTTAATTTTTTCCCCCCCCGAGAGCCCCAAAAGCCCCCCCCCGGAGAGAGTTGGACGAAAGCGAGCGAGCGAGAGAATAGATAGAGCGACAGATGATATATATAGCGATAGCGCGCTGAGAGAGCGCGCGAGCTCGATAGAGCGCTAGAGAGAGAGAGAGAGATCAGAGAGAGAGTACCAGAGACTGGTTAATTCAGTAGTTGATCATGTGGAAGATTGCTGCTGCAGCTGGAGAGAAGGTACCCATGAGAATGCATCCATTGACCACCACTGAGCTGCAAGGGAGCTAACCACACTGGCTTAGTTGAAAAAGCTGCCACATTAGAACCCTTTATATCCATCCTGAATCAAGAACAAGGTACTTAATGATGACAGTGATCCTAGCCCTTAATACAGGTACAGTACATAGGATACATGGTTTTCTGTACCCTGACTGAGGGTTGAATACATCTGATGATGTGGGGAATCACAGATAATGAGAGCTGTGGTCTCCCTGCCATGTGCAGATGGACAAGGTGTGTGCGTGTCGTGCGTGCGTGTGTGTGCGTGTGTGTGTGTGTGTGTGTGCATGTGTGTGTAGGTACTTAGAGGCCTGTCAGGCCCATCTGTGGGATTCCAGCTGACTTGGAGGGCCTGTTACCATGGTAACCACCTCCTTATGGTGTCTCAGTGTGTGTGTGTTGACTCCTCATTCTGGCATCTCCACTGGATAATAATATGCATGAATCTTACTGCTAAGGCGAGAGGGCACGAGACAAATCAAATCTGTTTCTCTTTAAACTCCCAATTGAATTGTAAAGGCTTCAGAGTCAAGTTAATGTGTTTACAACTTCATGTGAATTGTGTTTGTTATTTACAACCCCCAACGCAATACTGAGTGGCTGGAATAAAGCCTTGTCTGCGTTCCCATTCCTCTACCCTTCTACAGAAGTGTGCGCTCCTTCACTCCCCCTCATGCATTTAAAAGCATCGAATTGGTACAGCATCGAACAGTCCATTCCTTTTAAATCCTTGAGGGGAAGTATACAAGTGCAGACATGGGGAGAAGAGAATCAGACTGTAGCCCATGTTGTTGTTGTTGTTGTTGCTGTTGTCGTTGTTGTCGTTGTCGCTGTTGTTGTTGATTTGAGCATGTTAGGGCTGACAGTGAGACAGGTTGTCCATGCTCCACACAGCCTTATGAGGACTTGTGATGGGTCTAGTCCTTCTATACTAGTCCTTCTCTGGTTGTCTTCCTCATTCACCCAAACATAACCCCTTCCTCAAACATAACCCCTTCCTCAAACATTACCCCCTTCCTCAAACATAACCCCTTCCTCAAACATAACCCCTTCCTCAAACATTACCCCCTTCCTCAAACATAACCCCTTCCTCAAACATTACCCCCTTCCTCAAACATAACCCCCTTCCTCAAACATAACCCCCTTCCTCAAACAACCCCTTCCTCAAACATTACCCCCTTCCTCAAACATAACCCCATTCCTCAAACATTACCCCCTTCCTCAAACATAACCCCCTTCCTCAAACATAACCCCTTTCCTGAAACATAACCCCCTTCCTCAAACATAAATACCTTCCTCAAACATAACCCCCTTCCTCAAGCATAACTACCTTCCTCAAACATAACCCCTTTTCTGAAACATAACACCCTTCCTCAAACATAACCCCTTCCTCAAACATAACCCCCTTCCTGAAATATAACCCCCTTCCTCAAACATAACCCCCTTCCTCAAATATAACTACCTTCCTCAAACATAACCCCCTTCCTCAAACATAACCCCCTTCCTCAAACATAACCCCCTTCCTCAAACATATACCCCCTTCCTCAAACATAACCACCCTTCCTCAAACATTAACCCCTTCCTCAAACATTACACCCCCCTTCCCAAACATAACCCCTTCCTCAAACATTACCCCCCTTCCTCAAACATAACCCTTCCTCCAAACATAACCCCCCTTCCCTCAAACATAACCCCCTTCCTCAAACATAACCCCCTTCCTCAAACAACCCCTTCCTCAAACATTACCCCCTTCCTCAAACATAACCCCATTCCTCAAACATTACCCCCTTCCTCAAACATTACCCCCTTCCTCAAACATAACCCCTTTCCTGAAACATAACCCCCTTCCTCAAACATAAATACCTTCCTCAAACATAACCCCCTTCCTCAAGCATAACTACCTTCCTCAAACATAACCCCTTTCCTGAAACATAACACCCTTCCTCAAACATAACCCCCTTCCTCAAACATAACCCCCTTCTTGAAATATAACCCCCTTCCTCAAACATAACCCCCTTCCTCAAATATAACTACCTTCCTCAAACATAACCCCCTTCCTCAAACATAACCCCCTTCCCAGAGGAGGCTACTGAGGGGAGGACGGCTCATAATAATGTCTGGATCGGAGCTAATGGAATGGCATCAAACACAAAGAAACCATGTTTGATACCATTCCACTGATTTCTCACAGGCCTCTGTCCCTGTCTCACCCAGTGGGATGTGGGATGTTGAGCAGAGACAAGGGCATATAGTCTACGTGCTGGTTGAGCTCAAACTGGTGGCCTACCTCTATATAGTGACAGATTTCCTGACCCTTTCCTGTTGCCTACCCCTGCCTTAGGCCCTAGGTATGCCAAGTATATGCCAGGCAGATTTTATACTGAGGACACTAGGAAGTGTCCCTTTGTGCATGATAGAGGCTTGGTGTGGGGGTTGTGCAATACTGCAGTGTAATTTACTGATTGATTTGAACTGCCAGTCTTTTTATTGCTCTAATCTCTTGTATGCTCTCTCTCTCTCTCTCTCTCTCTCTCTCTCTCTCTCTCTCTCTCTCTCTCTCTCTCTCTCTCTCTCCTCTCTATTTCTCAATCCCCCCTCCTCCATCTTCCTCTCTCCCTCTCTCTACCCCCCCTATCTCTCACCCCCTCTTCATTTTCCCTCACCCTCTCTCTCTCTCCCCACTCCTTCCCCCCTCTCTTTCCTCTCCAGTGTCTAGTTGTCATGGCAGACAGTCGGCAGCCCGAGGACAACAGCTCCTCTCACTGGGCCCCTCCCACTAACGGAGCCCAGGACCAATCAGCTGCCCTCGCTGGCCACGGAGAGAACGGCTACTCCTCCTACAGAGAGAACGGCTATCACGGAGGACACACGGCGACAGCAGGTGAGAGAGCACTGGAGGGGTATAGCCACCTCTTAACTGAAGCGGTAGGTGTTACCATGCAGCCTAATTGAGGTTTCCTGAGGGAAATAGCTGGAGCTGTATCCCTACAGGGTTTTAGGGACCTCATTGGAGTTTGTGGTTTACCTGTAGACGTGTACAGTAGGCTTATTCTACGATTACAATAAGACTTGCTGGTAAGAAAGGGTGTGACTGTCTAAAGGACAGGCTTTGTCCTTCAGATTGGGTTTATTGTAACAGAGTAGCACATTGGCATGGTCCTAAAGGACAGAGGTTAGAGCAGGTGTTTGTGAGCTTGTGCATGTGTCCCCCCCATGCGTGTGTCCCCCGTGTGTGTCCCCCATGCGTGTGTCCCCCATGCGTGTGTGTCCCATGTGTGTGTGTCCCATGTGTGTGTGTCCCATGCGTGTGTCCCCCATGCGTGTGTCCCCATGTGTGTGTCCTCCATACATGTGTCTCAATGTTTGTTTGTCTGCCTGCCTGGGTGTGTATGTGTGTCTGTGTCTGCGTTTCTATATGTGTGTGTGTGTCTGTGTCTGCGTTTCTATATGTGTGTGTGTGTGTGTGTATGTGTGTCCGCGTGCAGAGCAAGTGTCAGCCCATATAGTTGAGGAGGTGACAGCAGAGGCGGTGGCAGTGCTCAAGCAGGAGCAGGAGCAGCAGGACTCTACTAGGAGACTGCCCTCAGGTAGGCCTTAGTGACAGAGTTCCCTATAACACCTTCTTCACACTACTGAGCAGAGCCATGACAGGTCAGCACGATAGGTGTGAAAAGGGTCACACTGATAGGCTCATACCAGGCTACAGTAACAAATTTACGGTGGCCCCCGTGAGTGGCATGGGACATACTGCAGGGTAAGGGAAGGTGTCTGTCAATCCTCTTTCCCTGGCCGTACCATTACATCATCATTGTGCTGTTGGTGCCATTTGGCTGTTAGGATAGTCTTTAGCAATGACTGCCGTTTTGCTGGTGCTCTCTGGCTCTTATTAAAGCCACGGTCTGCGTTTGGTACATCCATTTACACATCCAGTTTCAGAGGGGTTACATTTACCTAGCCTAATCCCTCAGCTGTAGGACCAAACAAAAGTGGCACGGCGGCCATTTTGTGGTTTTTCTAATCCCAGACTGTAGTTTTAAGCCAATGTTATTAGGGTTATGTTACAGGTCAAATGACTATGACACGCATACTTACTGTATCACAACACATGACAACAATTTTATTGATTTACTCGTGAGTACAACATGCATTCTAAATATGTGCTCAGTAACTTGCATCTTCAATATCCTCAATATCTTCAATATATCCATAATCTGTTCTGCCTCAGAGTCTCTTTAGCAAATCGTTGAGCGCTGTTTATCTTTTCTCTCAGTCTGAATGGGAGATTCTCTGCCTAGAGTGACTCATCGAAAAGACCCTTCCCATTAATCCAATCATAGAGGATCAGACCAGGGGGATTAAGGCTGTGTCCCAAATGGAACCCTATTCCATATGTAGTGCACTACTTTAGACTAGGGCCCATCTAGAGAAATAGCCTGCCATTTGGGATGCACATAAATGTGCTGCGACAAAGCTCTCCCAGACAACAGAACATCCCCACAGCCGGACAACACACTCCCCAGAGACACGCAAACACACACACACACACACCGACACACACATACGTACAATACAGCCACAGCGCTGTTGATGTGGTTTGTTGTGTATCTTCCCTCTACCCATGTCTTGTCTACCCTGTCTGTCTCTTTCCCTTCACAGTGGAGGACTCTGCCAACCTGCCTCCCTCCCCTCCCCCCTCTCCGTCGGCAGAGCAGATCGGACCCATGGAGCAAGGTATGCACACAAAAGCTCATCCACGTGCGCAAACACGCAAGCTCACACACGCAAGCACGCACACACACACACACACACACACACACACACACTCTTGAGACAGGATGAGAGGATGGGTGTGTGTGAAAGTGACAGGAGCTATAGGTGTATATCAGTTGGGAGGTAACACACTCACACACTTGACCTTCCTCTGGGTGTTGATGATGCTTCATCCTCTTTCTTCCCTTCTTTATTTATCTTAGCCATGTCTTTCCTTAGCATGGGACAACTGGTAGTGGTTTCCCTGCTTGATCAGTAGATAGACATTCCTCCCTCTGTTTTCGTGTCTGTGTTTCACTTGTCACTAGCCGTCTACCACCCGGTGAGTCAACCCTGCAGCTTCTGTCTATTTACGTATGTTTAACATAAATAATGGGACATTGGTCACTTTAATAATGTTTAACATACTGTTTTCATATGTATATACTGTATTCTAGTCAAGGCCATCCTATTCAACTATTGCTGTACATATACTATTCTATCCTACGTATTCTACAGATATACTATATATTCTATCCATATACTGTCCATAGTGTCGATAAATCCCATCTCATATATATTTATTTATATATATATATATATATATATATATATATATATATATATATATATATATATACAGAACCAGTCAAAAGTGTGGACACACCTACTCATTCAAGGGTTTTTCTTTATTTTTACTATTTTCTACATTGTAGAATAATAGTGAAGACATCAAAACTATGAAATAACACATATGGAATCATGTAGTACCCAAAAAAGTGTTAAACAAATCAAAATATTTTTTATATTTGAGATTCTTCAAATAGCCACCCTTTGCCTTGATGACAGCTTTGCACACGCTTGGCATTCTCTCAACCAGCTTCATGAGGTAGTCACCTGGAATGCATTTCAATTAACAGGTGTGCCTTGTTAAAAGTTCATTTGTGGAATTTCTTTCCTTCTTAATGCGTTTGAGCCAATCAGTTGTGTTGTGACAAGGTAGGGGGGATATACAGTAGATAGCCCTATTTGGTAAAATACCACATCCATATTATGGCAAGAACAGCTCATATAAGCAAAGAGAAACGACAGTCCATCATTACTTTAAGACATGAAGGTCAGTCAATCCAGAAAATGTCAAGAACTTTGAAAGTTTCTTCAAATGCAGTTGTAAAAACCATCAAGCGCTATGATGAAACTGGCTCTCATGAGGACCGCCACAGGAAAGGAAGACGCAGAGTTACCTCTGCTGCAGAGGATAAGTTCATTAGAGTTAACTGCACCTCAGATTGCAGCCCAAATAAATGCTCAAGTAACAGACACATCTCAACATCAACTGTTCAGAGGAGACTGTGTGAATCAGGCCTTCATGGTCGAATTGCTGCAAAGAAACCACTACTTAAGGACACCAATAAGAAGAAGAGACTTACTTGGGCCAAGAAACACAAGCAATGGACATTAGACCGGTGGAAATCTGGCCTTTGGTCTGATGAGTCCAAATTTGAGATTTTTGGTTCCAACCACTGTGTCTTTGTGAGACGCAGAGTAGGTGAACAAATTATCTCTGCATGTGTGGTTCCCACCGTGAAGCATGGTGGAGCAGGTGTGATGGTGTGGGGGTGCTTTGCTGGTGACACATTTGTTGATTTATTTAGAATTCAAGGCACACTTAAACAGCATGACTACCACAGCATTCTGCAGCGATACACCATCCCATCTGGTTTGCGCTTAGTGGGACTATCATTTGTTTTTCAACAGGACAATGACCCAAAACACACCTCCAGGCTGTGTAAGGGCTATTTGAACAAGGAGAGTGATGGAGTGCTGCATCAGATGACCTGGCCTCCACAATCACCCGACCTCAACCGAATTGAGATGGTTTGGGATGAGTTGGACCGCAGAGTGAAGGAAAAGCAGCCAACAAGTGCTCAGCATATGTGGGAACTCCTTAAAGACTGTTGGAAAAGCATTCCTCATGATGCTGGTTGAGCGAATGCCAAGAGTGTGCAAAGCTGTCATCAAGGCAAAGGGTGGCTACTTTGAAGAATCTAAAATCTAAAATATATTTCAATTTGTTTAACACTACATGATTCCATATGTGTTATTTCAAAGTTTTGATGTCTTCACTATTATTCTACAATGTAGAAAATAGTAAAAATAAAGAAAAACCCTTGAATGAGTAGGTGTGTCCAAACTTTTGACTGGTACTGTATATATATATGTATATTTATGTATTTATACTCCGGACTCCGACATTGCTTTATTCCATTCTTTTACGTTTTAGATTTGTGTGTATTGTTGTGTATTGTTAGATATTACTGCATTGTTGGAGCTAGTAACACAAGCATTTCGCTACACCCGCAATAACATCTGCTAATTATGTGTACGTGACCAATAACATTTGATTTGATTTTTGATTTGATTTTACTCCTTGTCACTCAGCTCAGAGCAGTAGGCTTGCACTGCACCCTAACACAGCACTCTAACACTGCACCCTAACACTGTACCCTCTACGCGGCTGGTCTTGGTAGAATCACCTGTGAACTGTGTGTGGTTGATCTCTCGGTTTCCTTTACCTGTCACCCCTCACCCAATCTCCTAGACTCTACCCACCTTCTTTCTGTAAATGACACATCTCGCACTTATCGTATTCTGAGCGCTGATCTCGCGTCACATCTTCGATATCCATCGCGCGCCGCAGAGCGTCGAGAGAAGAGAGCGAGAAGCGACGCTAGGAGAGGGAGCGAAGAGCGACGAGGAGAGAGATCGAGACGGATGAAGAAGGAGCCGGAGCGCTTGCTTCTGAGAGCTGCTCGCGAGCTACGCAGAGAGATCTCGCGGATCGGGGATCGGGGGGCGAGAAGCGCGACGAGGGAGACGAGAAGGGAGAGAGAGCGCGGCGTAATAGAGGAGAAGGAGAGGGAGAGAGAGGAAAGTGAGAGAATCTATGCTCTGGAGCGAGCTCTGCGAGAGATAGATAGAAGTTTCCTAGGGCGTCCTACGCAGATTTCTCTCTCTCTTTCCTCTTTTCTCTCTCTCTCTTTCTCTCTCGATCTCGCTCTCTCTCTCCTTTCCTCTTTCTCTCTCTCTCTCTCTCTCTCTCTCTCTCTCTCTTCTCTCTCTCTCTCTCTCTTCCCTCTCTCTCTCTCTTCTCCCCTTTTGTGTTTCTCACCTGTTGGTTTACACTTGCTGTAGATGACATTACGGCTTTCAGCTCTCCTCACAGCACCGACCATTTACAACACACACACACTAACTATTCCCTCCACTTAATGCTGGTCACTGTATTACACTACATGGAATTCCAACTGAGCACATCTTTGGTACAGACTTCTAAACTTACCAGACCAGGTATTTCATTTGATGATCCTTTCATGAATTTACCTGTAATCGCAGGAATACTTGCATGAGATCATTACAATTAATGTATTTATTTTTGTCTGCATGCTTTAAAGATACCGTTTAATTGTGTTAGAATGTTTACAAAAACACCACATTTTATAGGCACATTATATTGTAGGTCATTGCCTCCGACAGAGCTGAAAGTGTCTCACCAGTGTTATCCCATTGTGTAGTAAGCCCTGTCTGTGTTATCCATGTCCATGTCCCTGTCCTGTCCCTGTCTTCCCCTTCCCAAAGAGGAGAGACTAGAGGTTGTCCCTACTTCCCCTGAGGAGGAGGAGGAGGAGGTTACCCAAGTCCAAGCAGCTCCTGAGGAGGAGCATCCAGGTCAACAGGGGGAGGATTCTGATCAGCAGCCCACAGACATGCTCTTAGAGCAGGTTAATATTGTAAGCGAGCCCCAGGCTTTGCCCTGTCCGCAGGCCGAGACTCATAAAGTCCTCAACGGGGGAAGAAGCCATCAGGCTGAGTTGGATAAACCATCAGAGGAAGGTGTGTGTGCGTGTGTGTGTGTGTGTCTGTCTGTGTGTGTGTGTGTGTGTGTGTGTGTGTGTGTGTGTGGCGTGTGCACACGTGCATGTTTTTACTGTTTGTCTGTGTTTCCCAAGTTGCATGATTTCCTCGTCTGTTTTGATGGCTAGGCTGTGATGTGGATCTAGCTTTGTTGTGCTACTGATTTCTTAGCTGCTGCTTCTGCTGCTGCTACAATGTGAACACATAACAGCACATTGATGTCTTGTGCTTATTGCATAAGAAGCCAATTCATTTTGTGCTTTCGTCAATGATCGAAAAAAAAATTTATGCGGCCCCCAGTTCACTTTTGAACTCATTGCTAAGTGTTTTTGCCAGCTACATTGCAAATGAGATGGTAAATGTTTTGAATGTCAGGTGTATTGTAAAGATTCATTGTGAATCTGTTTTTTTCCCCGTGGGGTTTTGTTTTTGGCTTTGGTACAATGTTTGTGTTCAATTGTGTCTCTGTATTATTTGCATTCAGTTTCATGTTGCTGTCATTTCATCTGACGTCAATGTAAACCCGCAGTAATATAGGAAGTACTAGGTACAACTCTGTTTTCCAATTACCTCAATTCTATCTCTATGACACTCCTGACACTGAGTTATACTCACCTTCATTGATTGAACATTTAGGTTTTCTACATTTTCATCCTTTAATAAGATCTTCCTAAACATTTACTCATTTGAGTTTGTAGTTAGAATCAACATCATAAAATATTCTGTATATATAGTCAATATGAAACATGTTACATTCATTGTATCCTAAATTAATTCACCACAAAGGCTATCCTCGCACGAGGTAGCACAGTAATTCAAGTTTACTTAAAGTGCCACTATCTTCTTGAATATTTCAGATGAATTCTAAATATCCCATGTCATTCAAGTCATGCTCTTCATTCAGTCATTCTGTTCCTGCACGCCATCCCAATGTCATGGAACTGCACTGGGCTGCAATCATGGTCCCAGTGCCCAAAGAGAGAATGCTGTGTGCCGTACATTCTGCTTGATGGACAGCTATCCATATGAAGAGGTGCTTTGCTTGTCTGTGCTGTCTGTAGCTTGTGGAAACTGCAAAGAAAGAAAGAAAGCTGAGCTAGTGTAACTCATCAGCAGCACAGACCACTGCAGATTTACTTCCAGACCTGCCGGTGAACCCAGAGAAGCCTCGTTCCGACAATCCTGCCATGGCAGAGGAGCACCCACGGGGGGCACTGCCACCGCAGAGCCCGGTGGCCGCCACCGCAGAGACAGAAACACCCGAGGGAGCAGAGAGCGCCGTGTCCATCACTGAGTCCTCCTCTGGTTCCCCCCAAAACAAATCTTTAACAGATCCTACCCCCACAGAACCCGAGAAGACAGTTCAGCCTTTAGTGGAACCAGAAAAGGGGCAAGGGACTGGAAGTACCACTAGTGTGGTTCCTGAGATAGAATACATCCCGGAGCCCAAGACCACGGCTGAGAAACAGCCCTCGGTTGAAGAGCTCGACTCAGTTCCTCTTTCAGTTGTATATGAGCCCCTGAAAGATTACATTGAGGAAGAGGAGGAAAATGATGATTATGTTACACCCAGTAAGTCAGCAAACTTTGAAAGCGTCCGTGAGGAGAAAGAGATCAAATCGGAGAAAACTGAGAAAAGAATGCTGAGTCTAGGACAATCGACCGCCAGGCCATTGTCATTTGAGACTGAGAAGATTGAAGATACTCCTCAAAGTAATATCAGTGAGGGAGAAAACCCAAAGGCACACATATCCGCTCCAGACGGTCTAAAAGACAAGCAGAGTTCGGAAGATAAGTCGGGAGTTGCTTCAAAAGATGAGTCAGGTATGACGGCCTACTTTGAGACCTCTACACAAAGGGATACTGAAGAACCAGGAGAACATGCTGAGGGTTACTATGAGCTCAGTGCTGTCAGCCAGAAGAAGCCCTCAGAGAAGGTTCTGGAGGCCGATTCAAACATTAAAATAAGCCATTCAGCACCAGAACAGACAGAATCCAGCACAACGTTGACGAGTGACAGTGCCATGGACAAACTAGAGGATCTCCCTAAGAGGAAGGATGCGTGTACTAGGCTGTCACCAGGCAAATTGTCATTGGAACAGAGAAGTCTCTCCCTGAATTTTACTATTGGCTCAATGGGTCAAGCAGGAGAGCAAAACCAGTCAAAGCTCTCATCTCTTACAGAGATCTCTTCCGGAAGCCTTGACGAAACCACAGGCTACCTTCCTGTAACCACCCCATTAGTAACATTAGAGAGACAGTTCCTTCCTGTGACTCCAGAGATAGCTATCCCAGTCCCTACCACTGAAGCCGCCACAGATCCACCTGAAGACACCACCTCCACCACCTCCAAGACAACGTGCTCTCCAAAGTTGTCACTCTCACCCATGAAGCAACACTACACTAATTTGAACGACCCATTCAATGACCTTCCTGAGATGCTGGACCTAGCCGGTGTTAATCCCAAACCCACCCTGGAGAAGAGGGAGCTGGACCAGCATAACAGAAGGAGGTCGGTCCCTGCCTGTCCGTCTGCTGCTCTGGTGGGCAGTTCTCTGGCCAAGCTGGTACTGGGGAACCAGCAGACGCCCAAGGTGGTGGATGGAGGAGAGAGCCAGCAGGAGGAGCGTGGTTACTGTGTGTTTAGTGAGTACTCTGGTCCCATGCCCTCGCCTGCCGACCTGCACAGCCCAGTGGGCTCCCCACACCAACGGTTTCCCACAGTGACCGAAGGGGACAGTGACGAGGAACTGGGAGCCATTGCGGAAGAGGGCGAGCAAAAGGTGGCACCGCAAAAACCAAACCAGGCAGAGGATTCGGTTGGAGGAACGGTTAAGCCAACTTTGGTGCTTGAAAGAGCTGTCACGGCAGGTGTCAAACCGGATCGTCTGAGGATCCCTGTGGCTCCATCCAAAGACAAACTGACAGAGTTCCGACTTGAGAGTGGTCTTCCTGGGGACATCAAAACCCAAGCCATTCCTGAGGTGGAGTTGGAGCAGGACCTCTCCAGAGAAGCGTCCCCCATCCCACCAGACTTCGCATTTACTTTCGGCACTGAGGCGAAGGACGCCAAGCTTCGTGCGACCCCTGAGTCTCCAGCAAAAAAGGCTGCCACTGTGGAAGGAACCAAAGCTGAGGAAACCACAGCGGAAGTCAAAGCAGAGGTGGCGTCAGCAAGGATTGGGAAGAGTCAGAAGACTGGTCATGAAAAGCCAGAGATGGAGAAAGTGGAGGAGAACTCAGACCCAGACCATCAGGACGCTGTTGAAGACGTACAGCCAAAGGATGTTCAAGGACCAGAGAGAGAAAAGAAAGAAAGACCCGTGACATCATCACCAGAATCATTAGTGGAGATCATCAATGCGCAGGAGAAGAAGCGTGAAAGCGAACCAGAGGCGTCAACAGTACCAGTGGAGGCTGCCGTTCCAAAAGAAGAGGGCAAGACCAAAGCCGAAGAAACATCACCAACACCCTCTAACGTGAGCACTGCGGAAGTGGAGGAAGCCACAGAGCAGCAACAAGAGAAAAGTCCAGAGAAAAGGGTTTCTGTAAGTTCTCCAGTTATAGTCATACCTCAGGCACAGGTTGAGGAAGAGGAGGAAGACGATATAGAAGTAGCTGAGGAAGTCTTGGAGGAAGTTGAAGGCCCTCCTGTACTGCTCAAGGAGAAAGAGCAGGAGAGTCACCCTGTGGAGAAGCAGGAGGAGATGGCAGAAGAGGTGAGGGTGGTGGATGGGGCAGAGGAGGTGATTGTTGAAAATCCTAAAGACTTGGAGATTACTGTTTCTGCGGCTGACGAATCATGTGATGCTACTGCCCCAACCATTGATGAAGGGGATTATGCCGATCACATCTCTCATCTATCTGCCTGCTCTGACAACGACCAGCCACAAACCCTCGACGGACAGGAGGAAGAGAAGAATGAAGTGGAGGATAAAGAAGGGGTGGTGCTGCAGGAGGAGGAGGAGTCCGGTGAGGTGGGGCAGGAGACGGAGACCTCAGACGTACTGCAGAGCCAGACCGACGAGACCACCGCTCACGACGAGACCACCATGGATGTCTCCATGTTAGACACCGACAGTGGCTGGGTGGACTCTCAAGGTAGTAGTCCCAAATCGTGCATGCAATTACTAAAATGCAAATGCAAAATATTAGCTTCACATGTTTTTTGTCTCCATTGCGTAACTCACACATTTAAGTGTTATTAACAACAACAAACAAGCGTCTTAACTGGACTATGAACAACAATACACAATCTATATCGTGGAAATCTTCAAATGTACTTTATACACAGATGGTCCATTCTAGTCAATATAGATCATGTGCAACATAGGACATATGGGCCCGGTGTATGTGGGCTTAGCCCTCCTGTCCTATCTCACTCCCTATGCTACAGATGATGACAGAAGCCTAATGACAGAGCAGATTGAAGCTCTGCCCAAAACACAGAGTCCTGTCAAGACTCCCCTGGTAGAGAGACCCTCTAATAAACGACCCCCCGGCAGAGGACAGGGGCGCGTCTCCACCCCCGAGCGCAAACCCACCCGCAGAGTGCCCATCAGTCGTCGTCCGAAGGAGGAGGAGAAGAAGAAGAAAGGTTTCTAGTTCTAGAATGTTAGATTGTCAATGTTGTTCTGTTATTTACTGGATATATCTGTGGTACTACTGAACATCACTTCTGTCATGGAAGTCTTTTAAACTGGGAGGGATTTGGTTTAGTTTTATTACACAATTTGTAAATGACAATGTTATCACCTCTTCAAGGTCTTGAGACCCATACTGTGTGTTGGTTAAATGGGAATTGTACCATGCTATAACAGATGTCCACTTCCTTCCTGTTGTTAACCCTGTCTTCCCTCTCTGCTAGCGGGGACGAAGAGAACTGAACAGTGTAAGGTATCAGTCCTCCAGAGTCACTCTCCCACTCGGAGGAGTGTAGTCAAAGCTGCTACATTCAGACAATCTAGACCTGCTTCGCACCACGGCTCTGCTAGATGCAAGCCACCAGGTGACCTACCTACCGTCCTCACAACAGCGAAACCGATGCAATGTAGCTGGCCAAAAACATCATGTGCACTGCAGACCCATCTCTAGATGTTTCTCTGTTGTTCATAGTTTTTCTTCTCCCATTTTATTACTGTATTGGTCATTATTTTGATGTTTTGTTTTTGAGAATCATGAGATCATGTTGCATTATGCTCATCCAAGCTGTAAGCTCCATGTTTGGGGAGTGGTTGTGCTTTGTGAGGACAATGTGCTACTATGGTTGTGCTTTGTGAGGACCATGTGCTACTATGGTTGTGCTTTGTGAGGACCATGTGCTACTATCCCAGCTAGCACATAACGTTCTGAGAACCAGATGTTTCTTAGAGCTTGGTGAGAGCATACAACCTTCCCTCAAAGTTCTGGGAATGGTGCAGGATAGTTGCTTGGCTTTGGAACATTCTCAGCACATTTAAGGAACTTGACAAAAAAAAAACTATATTTTCTTGGTATTGCATTACTTTAACAGAATGTTTCCTAAAAGTTCAAACATGGTTACATTTCATTTCAATTTAGGTAATGTTCTAGGAACGTTCTCTAACTGGTTGGACATTGGGAATGTTTTTAAATAGTTCAGAGAACATTAAGAAATAACATTCCTATGTGGGAATTTCAGTACTTAACATAACGTTTCCTACAGGTTTACTCATGGTTCTATTTAAAGTCTTGTTCTAAAATTGTTCAGAAAATGTTAAGAAAACATTCCATAAAAACCACACGACAACTTTAGAGATCAAAGAATGTTATTTTAAAACATATGCATTCCGTTCTCAGCATCAATAAAACTCTCTCTATCCTCTATCTTGTTTTGTGTGTTCAGGTGTGTTGGCCGCGCCCACTAATTGGCCACACCTGAGGTTAATGAGTGCTTCTTTCCTTTGTAATGGGGTCTGTTTGAATAGACTAAAATTACCAGCTTTCTATGAGTAAAACAAAACATGGCATGCTAGCTACATCCTGGTGGCGCAGTGGACTAATTCCATGGATAGAGAACAGAAGATCATAGGTTGAAATCTCACTGATTCAATGTCACAATAAAGGTGTTTGCATGATTAATGCCAAAGGAAATTAATTTCTATATGTGCTTGGAGTTCCAAAAAGTTAACCCAAACTAAGCTAGCAGTGTTATTAAAAGCCTATTGAAACATTCAGTGAAAGTTTTAAGGAAATTATTAAAAAACCTCCAAATAACCTATAGTTTTCATTCTCAGAGCGTAAATACAACCTCTCAGGAAAACTTTCGTTTTTAAAATGTACGTTCCCAGAACAGGCAAAATGTTCACTTCCGTTCTCTGAACATTAAAAAAACGCTCAGTTTTACCAGTCAGAATACTTATGGCTTCTTTCCCAGAACCAATGGGAAACCAAAAATGTACGTTCCCACAACTTCCAAGGAACCAATGTGCTAGCTTGGATGGTTTTGTATTGAGCCACAGTACTATACCTTGCTCTTCTGTTTGGTGGAAGTGATTGGCAGGTGTCTGACTGGGGTGCTGCTGTGTGAACTGAAATATGGGTGAATTTGGTCAGGAACAAATGAGCCTGACAGAAATGCTTCCTTCAAGATTTGCAATTTGCATCAGTTCTGTATTAGGAGGTTTTCTGCTTCAGTGGTTAAAGATAGATTGCACTGGCTGTGTGTGTGGACTGTGTGTGTGTGTGTTCGAGTGTTTGAGATCATTTATGGGTTGTACTCTGTTCTCTGGTATCTGGCATCTGCTGCATTCGCTCAACTCATTGCAGCCGCTGTGCGTTTCTGTTGGCTGATATCACCCTCTGCTGGCCTAGCTCTGACAGTTGATTCTCTCTCTCTCTCTCTCTCTCTCTCTCTCTCTCTCTCCTCCCTCTCTCTTCCCTCTCTCTCTCTCTCTCTCTCTCTCTCTCTCTCTCTCTCTCTCTCTCTCTCCTCAGCCATGGAGGACCGGCAGCCTCTTAATGTGGCCCACCAATCCCGGGAAAGGACCTCTGTAAGTAATAATGTATAACATACCGATGTCACATTCTGTTGTCACTGACATCCCACCTCCGATATGTTTTCTGTCTTTGTATTTCATTATTTTCCCATCGCTCATCTCCTGTCTGTCATTCTGTCTATTATTTGTCCATCTCTCTGTCTGTCCTGCATGCCATGCGTTCATCCTACCTGCGTTGCCATGGCTACCGTCTAGAGCCTCACACGCACTGCCTTAAAAAACCATCGACTAACCAGGGGGCTAGAGGACCTGTCTCCCAGGCCCAACTCTGCATGCTCCCACACTAAACGCAAACCCTTAGTGGAGGCGGATTTATGCGGGCCACGCCCCTCCTCCGCATGCTCGGGAAGAAACTCCCCCTCCCCCTCACTGCAGAGGCGGGGGCGGAGGGAAGAGAAGGTAAGGAGGAGGGGCAAAGGAAAAGACACACCCTTTACAGCAGTACCCTCCCTCCTTCCTTATCGTGCAGTACACACCCTTTAGAGCAGTACCCTCCCTCCTTCCTTATCGTGCAGTACACACCCTTTACAGCAGTACCCTCCCTCCTTCATTATCGTGCAGTACACACCCTTTACAGCAGTACCCTCCCTTCTTCCTTATCGTGCAGTACACACCCTTTACAGCAGTACCCTCCCTCCTTCCTTATCGTGCAGTACACACCCTTTACAGCAGTACCCTCCCTTCTTCCTTATCGTGCAGTACACACCCTTTACAGCAGTACCCTCCCTCCTTCCTTATCGTGCAGTACACACCCTTTAGAGCAGTACCCTCCCTCCTTCCTTATCGTGCAGTACACACCCTTTACAGCAGTACCCTCCCTTCTTCCTTATCGTGCAGTACACACCCTTTACAGCAGTACCCTCCCTTCTTCCTTATCGTGCAGTACACACCCTTTAGAGCAGTACCCTCCCTTCTTCCTTATCATGCAGTACACACCCTTTAGAGCAGTACCCTCCCTCCTTCCTTATCGTGCAGTACACACCCTTTACAGCAGTACCCTCCCTCCTTCCTTATCATACAGTACACACCCTTTACAGCAGTACCCTCCCTCCTTCCTTATCATACAGTACACACCCTTTACAGCAGTACCCTCCCTCCTTCCTTATCATACAGTACACACCCTTTACAGCAGTACCCTCCCTCCTTCCTTATCGTGCAGTACACACCCTTTACAGCAGTACCCTCCCTCCTTCCTTATCGTGCAGTACACACCCTTTACAGCAGTACCCTCCCTCCTTCCTTATCGTGCAGTACACACCCTTTACAGCAGTACTATCCCTCCTTCCTTATCGTGTAGTACACACCCTTTAGAGCAGTACCCTCCCTCCTTCCTTATCGTGCAGTACACACCCTTTACAGCAGTACCCTCCCTCCTTCCTTATCGTGCCGTACACACCCTTTACAGCAGTACTATCCCTCCTTCCTTATCGTGCAGTACACACCCTTTAGAGCAGTACCCTCCCTCCTTCCTTATCGTGCAGTACACACCCTTTAGAGCAGTACCCTCCCTTCTTCCTTATCGTGCAGTACACACCCTTTAGAGCAGTACCCTCCCTCCTTCCTTATCGTGCAGTACACACCCTTTACAGCAGTACCCTCCCTCCTTCCTTATCGTGCAGTACACACCCTTTACAGCAGTACCCTCCCTCCTTCCTTATCGTGCAGTACACACCCTTTAGAGCAGTACCCTCCCTCCTTCCTTATCGTGCAGTACACACCCTTTACAGCAGTACCCTCCCTTCTTCCTTATCGTGCAGTACACACCCTTTACAGCAGTACCCTCCCTTCTTCCTTATCGTGCAGTACACACCCTTTAGAGCAGTACCCTCCCTTCTTCCTTATCATGCAGTACACACCCTTTAGAGCAGTACCCTCCCTCCTTCCTTATCGTGCAGTACACACCCTTTACAGCAGTACCCTCCCTCCTTCCTTATCATGCAGTCTGTATAGGTGCAATTCATTCCATATTGGTAATGTCAGAGATGTTTGTTCGTTTTTTGTCCATTAATTCTCACAACCACACAATTGGGTATTACAAGCGGTTTAATTTAGTTCTCAGCATTCAAGTGTTGTCGGTAGGTCGTTGTTAGATCTATGGCATGTGTTTGTATCCGTGTCTGTTAAGTGCTCATACATGTACTGTATGTTGTGTGTGACAGGAGGGTACCTACCGGAGCCCAGAAAAGAGGTCCTCTCTGCCCAGGCCTGCCTCCTCCCTGCCCCGCCGTGCCCCCCCAGCAGAGCAGGACAACACCAGCCCTGCACCCCGCAGGCCCACCTGTAAGTAACCCTCCCCTCCACACACCTCCACACGCTGTTTCTTCAGACAGATGAAATACTGCCATATTAACCAGTATGATCACATTTCACCACCAATAACCACGCATTAGACAGAACAGTATAGCACATTTGCTATTGAATCTGTTGATGATACTATGTGTAAAGACACCCTGTCCTCTCTTAGTACGTGCTTTCCCTTTTCACAAGTCTTGAAAATATCCCGTACAGCTAACAACAATCAATATTTTCTGTGACCGCTATCTAATACTCTCCTCAACTCAACTCTGTTTCTCTCTTAACTCAACAACTATCCTCTCCTTAACTCAACTCTGTTTCTCTCTTAACTCAACAACTATCCTCTCCTTAACTCAACTCTGTTTCTCTCTTAACTCAACAACTATCCTCTCCTCAACTCAACTCTGTTTCTCTCTTAACTCAACAACTATCCTCTCCTTAACTCAACTCTGTTTCTCTCTTAACTCAACAACTATCCTCTCCTCTACTCAACTCTGTTTCTCTCTTAACTCAACAACTATCCTCTCCTCAACTCAACTCTGTTTCTCTCTTAACTCAACAACTATCCTCTCCTTAACTCTGTTTCTCTCTTAACTCAACAACTATCCTCTCCTTAACTCAACTCTGTTTCTCTCTTAACTCAACAACTATCCTCTCCTCAACTCAACTATGTTTCTCTCTTAACTCAACAACTATCCTCTCCTTAACTCAACTCTGTTTCTCTCTTAACTCAACAACTATCCTCTCCTCAACTCAACTCTGTTTCTCTCTTAACTCAACAACTATCCTCCCCCAACTCAACTACCTGTTGTCTCTCTTAACTCAACAATATCCTCTCCTCAACTCAACTCTGTTTCTCTCTTAACTCAACAACATCCTCCTCAACTCAACTCTGTTTCTCTCTTAACACCAACAACTACCTCTCCTCAACCAACCTGTTTCCTCTTAACTCAACAACATCCTCTCCTCAAACTCAACTCTGTTCTCTCTTAACTCAACAACTATCCTATCCTCTCCTCAACTCAACTGTTTCTCTCTTAACTCAACAACTATTCTATCCCCTTCACTCCTCTAACTCCTCCTCCTCTTCTCCTCTAACTTCTCCTCTTCTCCTCTAACTCCTCTTCCTCCTCTAACCCCTCCTCCTCTGTCACTAACTCCTCCTCTTACACGTCTAACCCCAGTCTCCCTAGATCCTAACTACATCCATCTTATCCTCTAACTCACCCTCTCCTCCTCCTCTCCTCTAACTCCTCCTCCTTTTCTCCTCTAACTCCTCCTACTCCTCCCTCTTCTCCCTGTAGCGATTCAAACTGAGCCCAGAGGGGAGCACAGGTCTGGGAGGTCCCCTAGTATCGCAGGTAGATCACAGATAGATCCATTCTGTCATCCACACCACGCCCTGGCTGTCTCTCACTAGCTTTGATAGATTCACTCTGTCATCCACACCACGCCCTGGCTGTCTCTCACTAGCTTTGATAGATTCACTCTGTCATCCACACCACGCCCTGGCTGTCTCTCACTAGCTTTGATAGATTCACTCTGTCATCCACACCACGCCCTGGCTGTCTCTCACTAGCTTTGGTCCTGTTCGCCTGCTAAGACGTTGCTGATGCATGCCAGATCAAAGGTATTTTACTTATCAGTTAACCACATCATATCTTATAGCAGTCTGGTGCCCAACGGCAAAGTCAATGATGTGGCACGCAGCCATTGGTTGATACATGCAACGTCTAAGCAGGGGAACGCGAGCTCTGTCTGCATGTTTATCAATCAGCCATTTTGTTTTGTCTTATTGAGGAAGTCTGTAAAAGTATTATGTAAAAGTATTATGTATTATGTCCTAGCTGCTAGCAAATGCATCACAATCATTCATGCTGTATAGTTATTGGGTTATTTTGCCAGCCTGCTTCATTGTGTTCTGTTTTAGTTTTATTCCGTCTCAGCTACTTGGTGTCAAGGTCTTGTTTGTCAAGGTAGTGTTTGCCATCAAGTTGAAGTTGTGTGTCATTACGCTGCTCATCAGACATGAGTCCATTCAGGAGACAAAGCTGTCCTCTCCCTGTTTCTCTCTCTCTCTCTCTCTCTCTCTCTCTCTCTCTCTCTCTCTCTCTCTCTCTCTCTCTCTCTCTCTCTGTCTCTCTGTCTCCTGTCTCTCTGTCTCTCTGTCTCTGTCACAGTTCCTCCCTGACCTCTGTTACCTCTCTGTTTCCCACCCAGCCGGCACAAACTCGTCGGCTCGTTCCCGTTCGGCCCGGAGCGGAGCCTCCACCCCCCACACCCCCGGCTCCACAGCGGTCACCCCAGGCACCCCACCCAGCTACTCCTGCCGCACCCCTGGGAGTCGCACCCCCGGCAGCCACACACCCAAGTCTCTCAGGTTGGTAGTCTAGACGTTAGAGAAGTCGGCCAGCAACCAGAGGGTCACCGGTTCGAATCCCACATAGACCATGAAAGCTTGTGTGTGTGTGCTTGCATGCTTGCATACGTGTGTGTGTCTCAGGGATTTGGGTTTGTAAGCAAAATGACATATGACATAACAAAATGACATTTCTCTGCAAGAAAGTAGACAATATAGTTGTTCTGTTGTTCTATTCAGCCTCCTCACTCAGGAGAAGAAGTTTGCTGTGATCCGCACGCCGCCCAAGTCACCCTCCACCACTCCCAAGCAGCTGCGCGTCCTCAACCAGCCCCTGCCCGACCTGAAGAACATCAAGTCCAAGATCGGCTCCACAGACAACATGAAGTACCAGCCCAAAGGTGGACAGGTGAGATGGAAACCACTCAGCATAGGGGATATGGCCTGTGTTGAATACCACTGTGGTCACCAGTCTTGGCTCTCTTGCGGTCTCTCTGTCTGTTTCTCTTTCTCTCTTTCTCTCTCGCTCTCTCTCTCTCTTCTCCCCCCACCTCTCTCTTTCTCTGTTCTACAGTGGCTGCCTCCCTCTCTCTGCTGACTGTCCTCTAACCACCACTCTCCTCTCCTCTCCTCATTTCTCTCCTCTTCATCATGAAGCATCTGTCTCTAGTCCTTCTACGTTGCACCAGCCCGCCCACATTCTCAGTCTCCCACTCCCTGTATGTGCTGTATCTCCATCTCTGCCAAAGCAAATGTTTACCCTCACCTTCTCATTGGTCAAGGGTTGTTTACCCTCTGGTTCGATTGGTTGAGAGTTGTTTGCCCTCTGGTCTGATTGGTTGAGGGTTGTTTGACCTCTGGCATGATAAGGAGAGGTGGATTTGAACCAGAAGCCATAAACTAAAGACCCCAGTCTGTAGTCATTTCAGCTTCATGGAAGTGTACAGCTAGCCTTGTTCTAGATCTGTTTGTTCTGTCTTACCAACTCCTTTCATCGTTTGGAATCAGGCCAGGATTACCGAACAGTAAAAAACAAATGGGCTGGGTGCCCCCTTGAGGTCGGGGGCCCCCCAGTTAGCACGTCACAAGCAATGGCAAAATGTGTCGAATTGGAGGTAATTAGCTTTAAAACTGCTAAATGTTCTCTCAGCCTCATGACAAGATGTGTAGAATAGCATTATAAAACTTCAAATGTTTCTCTCTGCACCATGGCAAAAATGTGTTGAAAAGTTAAATGGTTTCCCCCCCCCCCAAAAAAAATCTGCTTTCTTAAAAATAAGTTTGTCCGGCCCTGTTTACCATGACAACAATGGGAGTTGCCTATACAGCAAAAACAGATCTGAGACCAGGATGTACGTGACATTAAGGCAGGGAAATAGCCTACACACAAGTACCAGTGGCTGTGTTCTTGTGGTAGTTTCTTCCTCATTCCCTACTCTGACAGATGGCGTTAGCCAGAGAGGTCTTTAGCTCAAGCAGATAACACTCACTCACTCACTCACTCACTCACTCACTCACTCACTCACTCACTCACTCACTCACTCACTCACTCACTCACTGTGTACATATTTAACAAGCAAGCTGAGCCTAAAACAGACATACAGTATTTGCTGTTATATAAACCTTTCACAAGGCCCTCTCATAATGAATGAAGAATCTCTATTGGCTATGGAGGTTAGTTTTCGTCCATGATGTTGAATGACCTTTGTTCTGTGAGAGGAGTGAAAGACAGGGCTGAGTTTAATGAGCTCAAGTCTGGTGTTGCAGACAGGACGAAGGCTCAGGGCTTCAGTACAGAACTGTGATGGGTGATTTGAAGTCAGGCGCAGGAGGGTAAATCACAGAATACAGAGTTTATTCCGGAATACAGAGTTACGCAGAAATGCAGACTTACGCAGAAATGCATCAAACAGTCCAGTGCGCAAAACAGGCACACAGGGAAATTATCCCCTGGCAATACAGAATACACGGCGCTCAACTGAGCTACGCTCTCCTCACAATAAACAATCACCCACAAGGACAAGGGGGCAGAGGGAACACTTATACACGTACTAATGAGGGGATATGAACCAGGTGTGTGTAATAAACAAGACAAAACAAATGGAATGATGAGATGAGGAGCGGCAGTGGCTAGAAGGCCGGTGGCGACGAACGCCGAAGCCTGCCCGAACCAGGAGAGGAGGCAGCTTCGGAGGAAGCCGTGACAAGAACACCCAGCCTCAGTGAAGATTAGAAAACGTAATGAAACAGAATAATCACAGAATAATTGGTTAATCTCATAATTAATCCAAAACATTCTGTCTTCCAATGGAACATCTCTATTTTGGTGCAGTGATTTCACTGCAATATTTTGTGGTGATCTGTAACCCATCTATGAGTCCACCCACTTGTATTTGCTGTAGACAGCTATTTAGGAAACATATTTAGAAACTCTGGCTCTTTGACCTTGACTGACCTTGTAGAGATGGTCGTGTTTTACCAGCTTTAGAATCGGCAAAACAGATTAGGTGCAAAGCACTGGTGCATGTGTGTGTGTATTTAAGTATGCGTTTGACTGTGTGTATTCCCACTTGTGTGTGTGTGTCTGCGTTTAATTGGCACACACGTGTGTGTCCTCAGGTGACAGGAGAATCCAGGTCAGAGTCTGGTTGATGAAAGACTAGGTCTGTAGGCCAGGGTTCTCCTTTCCAGAGACATACCAGCTTGTGTTCACTCATTGACTCATGTCTTATGGTTGACACGTCCCTTGTGATCGCTACACGGTATAGGTCTTGCCAGTCCTGTATTTCAGACAATGATTCGTTTTTTTTACGGAAACCATTACACTAAGCACTGCATGACCATCCGTCACATATACACTGAGTGTACAAAACATTAAGAACACCTTCCTAATATTGAGTTGAGGCTGTTCTGCCCTCAGAACTGCCTCAAGTCGTCGGGGCATGGACTCTACAAGGTGTCGAAAGCGTTCCACAGGGATGCTGGCCCATGTTGACTCCAATGCTTCCCACAGTTGTGTCAAGTTGGCTCGATGTCCTTTGGGTGGTGGACCATTCTTGATACACACGGGAAACTGTTGAGCGTGAAAAACCCAGCAGTGTTGCTACCATACCCCGTTTAATGGCACTTAAATGTTTTGTCTTGCCCATTCACCGTCTGAATGGCACACATAAACAATCCATGTCTCAATTGTCTCAAGGCTTAAAAATCCTTCTTTAACTTGTCTCCTCCCCTTCATCTACACTGATTGAAGTGGATTTAACAAGTGACATCAATAAGGAATCGTAGCTTTCACCTGGATTCACCTGGTCAGTCTATGTCATGTTGTTCTTAATGTTTTGTACACTCAATGTACATAATATGATTATCATTCCAAATAAATATCAATATACAGATACTGTACATACTAATGTAAACGCAAGTACCGGGCGGCAGGTAGCCTAGCGGTTAAGAGCGTTGGGACAGTAACTCAAAGGTTGCTGGTTCGTATCCCTGAGCCAACTAGGTGAAAAATCTGTCGATTTGCCCTTGAGGAAGGCATTTAACCTTAATTGCTCATGTAAGTCACTCTGGAAAAGTGTCTGCTAAATGACAATAAAATTGATAAAACTAAAATTACACATTGAGCTATTCACACATTTTATAAAGAGGCATATGCGTTCTTTTGTTGGTTTGTGATTTTTTCTAAGCTAATCAAATCACAATTTATTTGTCACATGCACCGAATATAACCGGTGTAGACCTTACAGTGAAATGCTTACTTACAAGCCCTTAACCAACAATGCAGTTTTAAGAAAAATAAGTGTTAAGTAAAAAATGTAAATAACAAATAATTAAAGAGCAGCAGTAAAATAACAGTATTGAGGTTATATACAGGGGGTACCGGTACAGAGTCAATGTGCAGCGGCACAGGTTAGTCGAGGTAATTGAGGTAATATGTACATGTAGGTAGAGGTAAAGTGCATAGATAATAAACAGAGAGTAGCAGCAGTGTAAAAAGATGGGGTGGAGGGGGGTACGACGACAATGCAAATAGTCCAGGTAGCCATTTGATTAGCTGTTCAGGAGTCTTATGGCTTGGGGGAAGAAGCTGGGGGAAGAAGATTTAGATTTTAAACCAGAAGGTGGACTTCAGTCGTGTTTCATCAAAGTGTGGATCGAAGGATAATCTGAAGCACTCTCCCTGTGGAGGCAGTGTCACTCTCCCTGTGGAGGCAGTGTCACTCTCCCTGTGGAGGCAGTGTCACTCTCCCTGTGGAGGCAGTGTCACTCTCCCTGTGGAGGCAGTGTCACTCTCCCTGTGGAGGCAGTGTCACTCTCCCTGTGGAGGCAGTGTCTCTCTCCCTGTGGAGGCAGTGTCACTCTCCCTGTGGAGGCAGTGTCACTCTCCCTGTGGGGGCAGTGTCACTCTCCCTGTGGAGGCAGTGTCACTCTCCCTGTGGAGGCAGTGTCACTCTCCCTGTGGAGGCAGTGTCACTCTCCCTGTGGAGGCAGTGTCACTCTCCCTGTGGAGGCAGTGTCACTCTCCCTGTGGAGGCAGTGTCTCTCTCCCTGTGGAGGCAGTGTCACTCTCCCTGTGGAGGCAGTGTCACTCTCCCTGTGGAGGCAGTGTATGTACTGCTTTGCTTTCTCTCCTTTCTCTATTTTCCTACCTTGATTTTCCTCTCTTTTATCTGGCTTTTTCTCAAGCCTTTCTTTCAGACGGGTTCCCCGGTCCTTTTTCTTGCCTCTGGTTTCATTGCTACTGTGTGATTTCTCTATTTGATCTGTTAGTCAGTCTCTATTTGATCTGTTAGTCAGTCTGTATTTGATCTGTTAGTCAGTCTGTATTGAGTGTGTGCTTCATGTACCACGGTCATTCTCTTCAAAACAGGGTACATTTGAGGAGCAGAATGACGTCACAACGACATTAACGTTTTGATATCCCACGTTCCTATTATATTATATCAATGTCCTCCTACTATGTCCTCCTACTATGTCCTCCTGCTATGTCCTCCAACTATGTCCTCCTACTATGTCCTCCTGCTATGTCCTCCAACTATGTCCTCCAACTATGTCCTCCAACTATGTCCTCCTACTATGTCCTCCTACTATGTCCTCCAACTATGTCATCCTACTATGTCCTCCTACTATGTCCTCCAACTATGTCCTCCTGCTATGTCCTCCTGCTATGTCCTCCAACTATGTCCTCCTGCTATGTCCTCCTGCTATGTCCTCCAACTATGTCCTCCAACTATGTCCTCCTGCTATGTCCTCCTGCTATGTCCTCCAACTATGGCATTGGAGTCCCATGTGAATGAACGAATGGATGGGTTAATTAATGAATTAATTAATTTATGGATTAATTTATGGATGAATTAATTAATGGATGGATGGATGAATTAATAGGTGAATGAATGAATGAATGAATGAATGAATGAATGAATGAATGAATGAATGAATGAATGAATGAATGGGCGAGCTAGCGAATAAACCACGGAACTAACAAATTCGAATAAACAAAGGAATGAATGTCAGAGTATTACAGTGTATGGATGCTGTCGTCCTCAGGTCTTCATTCCAAGTGTTAAACTGGACTTTAGCCATGTCCAGTCTAAGTGTGGCTCCCTGGACAAAATCCAGTACGCACCCACCGGGGGAAACGTGAGTGTCCCAACACAGTGTGTTTACACACCCTGCTCTAACCAACCTCCCTCACTTTCACTCACTAACCAATAAGCATGGATGGTAGTGAATCGTGGTATCACTGTGACAGAGATTTCTATCGCTGTGCTTTGTGTCTTGATTAATAAAGACATGACGATTTGGCTTTTTAATCATATTCATTACTCAGTTTAGTTTTCAGTTTAGTCTTGGCACAAAGCACAGCAATCTAACCTCATAGTGGTTTTCTGTACAGTGCCCTGTCTGTGCATGCAGGGTCATCAAAAACTCTCCTAACATAGTCTTTTAACTGTATGTATCCAGTCACACCAGCCAAAACCGTCACTCAAAGGACACCTGGCCCACTCACCTATTGTTCATCTAGCATCAGGGACTGACTAAAAAATAAACACTAAAGATCAATTAAAACTCCTGTTCTCTGACTGCTTTGATGTGCTAGATTAATTGGTTGATTGTGGTAGATTGACTGGTTTCAGTTGATTGTGTGATGTCAGTTTTGTCTTGTGTGATGTCAGTTTTGTCTTGTGTGATGTCAGTGTCGTCTTGTGTGATGTCAGTGTCGTCTTGTGTGAAGTCAGTATCATCTTGTGTGATGTCAGTGTCATCTTGTGTGATGTCAGTGTCGTCTTGTGTGATGTCAATGTCGTCTTGTGTGATGTTCATTATCATCTTGTGTGATGTCAGTGTCGTCTTGTGTGATGTCAGTGTCGTCTTGTGTGATGTCAGTGTCATCTTGTGTGATGTCAGTGTCATCTTGTGTGATGTCAGTGTCGTCTTGTGTGATGTTGTCTGTCACGTGTTGGGGGATTGTTTCACTTTCTTTATCCACAGATTTGTAAATTGTGACTTTATTCAGATTTAGTTTGACAACTTGTTGACTATCTACTCATTTTACTCTAAAACTTTCCTATGAGGAGAAAATCCATAATCAATAATCATCTCCTGGTCTCTTCCAACTGTCTCTGTTTAATGAGGTGGTTTACAGTGGTGATGTAGTGATCGGTATTCCTCAGGCAGTTTGTTTCACAGATTGATTATGTCGTTAATCTGTTGGCTGCTACTCTCTGTTCTTCCTTAAGTGTATGCATTTTTTATTAATAATCTTTCATTGATGATAAATAGGATACCGTAAAGTATGGTAAATTTCGCAGCATTTCAAGGTGTGGTCCTACAGCCCTTCAGATCTAAAATGTGACAGTCTCTTCCTTCAGTTAGCACACAGTGCAGCATAAGACAGTGTATGTGTGCGCCTCTCACAGGTCCACATCACCACCAAGAAGATAGACCTGAGCCACATCACCTCCAAATGTGGATCAATGTCCAACATCCGTCACCGGCCAGGTAATCAGCACTTTTTTACTTGATTCATTAATATTGGGTGATTATCTAATAGAGAGATTATTCCCATCTTTTGGATGAACAGGGCATAGAACATTACATTTCTCCTTACATTTTCATACATTAAATTGTTATGCTGTACCTCAGACAAGTCACTAACTGTAGTTTAATTAGCAATGGAATATTAATCCCATTATCTACAGGCATTTTGTCCTGTGTAGTTCAACTATTGCTTCTGTTTATATGAGTATTGATTCATTCATATCCTTTACTTCTCATCTCCTCTTCTCTCTTCTCCTCTCTCCTCCTCTCTTCTCCTCTCTCCTCCTCTCTCCTCCTCTCTTCTCCTCTCTCATTCTCTCTTCTCTCTTCTCCTCTCTCCTCTTTTCTTCTCCTCTCTCCTCCTCTCTTCTCCTCTCTCCTCCTCTCTTCTCCTCTCTCCTCCTCTCTTCTCCTCTCTCCTCCTCTCTCCTCCTCTCTTCTTCTCATACAGGGGGTGGTAACGTGCGTATTGAGAGTGTGAAGCTGGACTTCAAGGACAAGGCCGAGGCCAAAGTGGGCTCACTGGCCAACGCCAGTCACACCCCCGGGGGAGGACAAATCATGGTGAGACAGTCTACAGTAAAAGGACAGTACAGGATCATGTTCATTAGGCACCAAACAAAAGAAAATGGACTGAAACAGGGAGGGACTACCTGGACTTATCCAATAAGAAACTTTCATTTTCGTTTTCCATTGCAAAATGTTTTAAAACATGTTCAGTTGCGTGCTCTAATGGACACGACCCAGGTTTACATAGATGGCTTAATGGGTTAGAGCATGGTGCTGGCAACAGCAAGGTTGTGGGTTTGATTCCCACATGGACCATGGTTAACCCTCTCCTCTCTCTCGCTCTCTCTCTCAGATCGAGAGCCACAAGCTGACGTTCCGTGACACAGCCAAGGCGCGCGTGGACCACGGGGCAGACGTGATCACCCTGTCCCCAGGCGGCACGGGGGGCACATCCCCCCACCGTCTCAGCAACGTGTCGTCCACGGGCAGCCTCAACCTCCTGGACTCCCCCCAGCTGTCCACACTGGCCCAGGACGTCACCATGGCCCTGGCCAAGCAAGGCTTATGAGCCCCCTGCCCCCTCCATCATGCCCTGGTTCCTGGTCCTTCATACCCCCTGGACCTCCTGGATTCCTTAGACCCCCTGGTCTTAACAACCCCCTTCAACATTACTCCGTCGGCCCTCCACTGCAACAACCCTTCACCATCGTCACCCAAGATTAGAAACCAGACGACTGTGATCAGAGTATCAGAGTCCATCTTCCATCATTCCACTCCCCCTCCCTCGCTCCTCCATAGAAAAACATGATATTTAAACTACCACCACCAGGGGGATTTTGACTGACTCTAGGATGTTTGTTCTTCCTCTTTCTGTTCTAAGGGATGTGCTCAGCTCTGCTAGGGTGTGTTGTGTTGTTCTTTTGGCTTCTTTTCATTCCATGTTGAACTTTCTTTGGGACAGTACTGTAGATGGCCAGTGTGCTAGCTAGCTAAGGCACTGAAACAGGTGCAGTGATAATGTTGATAGGGTATCATCCGTTATCTAAGACTTTACAGTGATTCTTATTGTGTGGCAATGATCTCAACGACATTCCATTTGGCCTAAGATATTACGCGGCCCAGCCTGGTTTCATTTCCGACATACACTATATATACAAATGTTCCTAATGTTTTGTACAATCAGTGTATGTGATTGAGTTTAAATGTACACTATAATACAAAAGTATGTGGACACCCCTTCAAGTTAGTGGATTCGGCTATTTCAGCCACACCCGTTGCTGATAGGTGTATAAAATGGAGCACACAGCCATGCAATCTCCATAGACAAACATTGGCAGTAGAATGGCCCATACTGAAGAGCTTAGTGACTTTCAATGTGGCACCGTCATAGGATGCCACCTTTCCAACAAGTCAGTTTGTCACATTTCTGCCCTGCGAGAGCTGCCCCGGTCAACTGTAAGTGTTGTTATTGTGAAGTGGAAACATCTAGGAGCAACAACGGCTCAGCCGCAAAGTGGTAGACCACACAAGCTCACAGAACGGGACCACCTAGTGCTGAAGCGCGTAGCGCGTAAAAATCGTCTTTCCTCGGTTGCAACACTCACTATCGAGTTCCAAACTGCCTCTGGGAGCAACGTCAGCACAATAACTGTTTGTCGGGAGCTTCATGAAATGGGTTTCCATGGCCGAGCAGCCGCACACAAGTCTAAGATCACCATGCGCAATGCCAAGTGTCGGCTGGAGTGGTGTAAAGCTCGCCGCCATTGGACTCTGGAGCAGTGGAAACGCGTTCTCTGGACTGATGAATCACGCTTCACCATCTGGCAGTCCAACGGAAGAATCTAGGTTTGGCAGATGCCAGGAGTACGCTACCTGCCCCAATGCATAGTGCCAACTGTAAAGTTTGGTGGAGGAGGAATAATGGTCTAGGGCTGTTTTTCATGGTTCAGGCTAGGCCCCTTAGTTCCAGTGAAGATACATCTTAACACTACAGCATACAATGACATTCTAGACAATTCTGTGCTTCCAACTTTGTGGCAACAGTTTGGGGAAGGCCCTTTCCTGTTTCAGCATGACAATGCCCCCGTGTACAAAGCGAGGTCCATACAGAAATGGTTTGTTGAGATCGGTGTGGAAGAACTTGACTGGTCTGCACAGAGCCCTGACCTCAACCCCATCGATCACCTTTGGGATGAATTTGAACTCCGACTACAAGCCAGGCCTAATCGCCCAACATCAGTGCCCGACCTCACTAATGCTCTTGTGGCTGAATGGAAGCAAGTCCCCGCAGCAATGTACCAACATCTAGTGGAAAGCCTTCCCAGAAGAGTGGAGGCTGTTATAGCAGCAAATGGGGGACCAACTCCATATTAATGCCCATGATTTTGGAATGAGATGTTTGACGAGCAGCTGTCCACATACGTTTGATCATGCCGTGTATATGATACTGTATCCCAGGTACTGTATGTGTCTAGTAGACAGTAGGCTGTTATGTTTGTGAACAACAATGAATCTACAACACTATTCAATACAATGCAATACGTTAGAACTGTAACTGTAAGAAATGGCTGTTAAGACGAGCTTGTTTAAATTCATTTGCAGAAAATTTGATGTTTTCTATTTGAATTGATTTTGTTTTAGTCATATGACTATATGACTTCATGATGTCATTTGCTGAATTATTGGACAAAATGTGTTTTAGTTTAGTTTTTTAATCTCATTAATAGTGCAAATGGTAGTGTTGATGTTCCGGTGGCTGTACTAGTTTGGTACATGCTGTGGCTACACATTGCAGTCATGTCAAGTTACAATGCTATAAAATGCTAGCTTTCCAATAGACCTCTTCCACAAGTCATCGGGTTGCTTTTCTGCTTTAGTGACGTGAGCAATCATTTTACATACAGTAGCTCTGTGATTTTCACAACACAATCGCTATTATGCTGATGTGACAAAAGCCAGTGAGTGACCGAATAGCACAGAGTTATAGACATAAAAGATCTAGAGTGTGAAAACTGTAGCTAGGGAGACTATTCAGTTCACACAGTCTGTAAACGGCTTTGTAACCGGCCTTAGACTAACACGTCTGCTTCCAATGACCCTTTCTCCTGCTTTTAGAGTAGCAAGAACATGGACCTTGAATGAGCTAAGGGCCTGCAGTCACTCGTGTAACTACGCAGAAAGTGTCTGAAGCTTTATATTTAAATAAACATTCCATGAAAATAGCAGCTATGGTGTACACTGTGAAATTGTCCGGACAAGACTTTGTAGGGAAAGGGTTAAAGTAATGAAGGGATGTAGTGAAAGCAAAAGGAAGTCATTCTCAACTTGTACCTGTTTGATAAAAATGTTCTAGCTTATTTTTATCTGTCACCATTTGTGATACCCTCCCTCCCACCCCCAATTTCCAGATGTTATTCCACCCTTCTGTGTTTTTCTATACCCCTTCTTCCCTCTTTCCTCCCCCTCCCACAATCCTTTGCCTGTGTAAGTGTATTTAAAGAGGCCATGTAGATGTGCACACTTTCCAATGTTTGAAACAATGCTGTTGACAAAACATTCCTTCGGAATAATAACAACAGGAATAAAATAATAAAATGAATTAAATACATTAGTTTGAAACATTGTCTGGAGCTTCCACAAATACAACGAGCTGCTTTTTAAAATTATGTCATAAATGTGTCTGCATTATGTAATTGGGACTGTGAGTGCTAGATTGCATGCTACAGAGAGAGAGAGAGAGAGAGAGAGAGAGAGAGAGAGAGAGAGAGAGAGAGAGAGAGAGAGAGAGAGAGAGAGAGAGAGAGAGAGAGAGAGAGAGAGAGAGAGAGAGAGAGAGAGAGAGAGAGAGAGAGAGAGAGAGAGAGAGAGAGAGAGAGATTTTCATTGAGTCATTTTAGGTGATGTACTTGGGCCCATCTGAACAACAGATGTTGTAGGGCCAAAAGGTTGGGCCATCAGAACAGAACACTGTCATGTTATTTTTTGAGATAACATTTTTAATAGATTATGTACTTTCTGGTCATTTACATACCTCATAGCGCTGCACAGCGGACCAATAATCGTAATTGTGTGAATATCACTAGAGGGTATTTGTGGCTTATTTTATTTCCCTTTAGTTTCGTGTCATACAATGAAATGTTAATGTAATCAAAAGAGGGATAAGGTTTTATTTCAAGGTAATTAAACAACCTGTTGATGTTATTCATATGGGGATTGATTAAATATGTGTGCAGGGTGTGGATAAATATTGCAACATGCGTGTGCTGCAAATGTTGTTTGTAAACCGATTATGCTTTTATATCGGTGGTTTTCCTCGTTGTTTAGCCTACTCTTCCCAGTAGCCGACCCGATCATACTTATGTTGTTAGGAAAACAAATGTTCTTACTTCCTAGTAGTCGTAGTGTGTCTTTAGAGCAGAACCCCCCCCCCCACACACACACACACACTCTGCTGTTCCCCACTGCCGCTGTTCGGAAGGTGGTGCTGAAACCAGATAGATCTCCCTCTGTTACCTCTACCACCGCCGACACTTGCAGCCATTTTACACAAGCCGAACGGAATCATGTCGTGAGGCGTCACATTACCTGGAACGACCCAGCTACGTCTGGACCACGACAAGTCGGCAAGATGGTAAAGCGGAAAAGCCTGGATGACACCGACACGGAGTGCGGCAAGGGTATACCGTTCCCGATCCAGACCTTCTTATGGAGGCAGACCAGGTTAGTGTCGTGACAGCCATTGATAACAGGTGTTTGCCGCTGCTCACAATATACGGGGGTGAGATTATATGTCAACCAAGCTAACTCGCTCCCTTAGTATATACATTTAAATATGTGTTGCGTCTGTATAGAAGGTTTTTATGTGAGTGTCAAACAATCGTTTTATTCCTTATACACCAGTTGACAGGGTTGTCATATCAGGCTATGCGTCAGTTCATTTGGGTAGGCTATTGTAGCCTATTCAATGCCTCCATACATACAACAAAATGGAAAGAAAACCCCCCTGAGAAAAACAGCTAGTTCTCGTACAGGGGATATGTTCTAGAGGGGAATATGTTCTAGAGGGGCCGGGGGGTGGGCAGGCTAAGATGTCACACCTGTAGACATGGTCGGGAAAAGGTGAACGTGACTGCCTTATCATGCATCCGCTGTATACACTATGTTCACTGTCATTTGTAGAGGTAGGGCTAGGCTATAAGCGGTAAAAGCGATCATATTTGATAGTTTTTGATGATACCACTGCCCACTTGCACGAAGACGTTTGGCCGTCTAGCTAACATTTGCGTCACAACCTATTCAATTCATCCTATGTAGCTAATGATATTATTTTGAAACAATGATGTAATGAAAATTAAACACGCCCCAATGTTTTCATGATTACAGCGCGTTTCTGCGGCCGAAGTTGGGGAAACAATATGAGGCATCTTGTGTGGTAAGCCATTTTCATAATGCAAAAGCTATGATTAGAATGAATCATCGCTCAGCTTCTCTCACGGCCTCACCGCACCTGCGAATTAGGGGAGCATTTTCCAATTGCATTAAGTGGATTTGGAGTTTGTTATATATTTTATATTTTATTCTGTGCCTTGCCCGTTTGGTTAAACTGTTATTACCATGAATTGTAGCTAGTTAAAACTAATCTTTATAATGAATTTATACGTTGTATTAACACGTATTTGAGTGTATGACCAAATAGTAAATTGGGCAATAACTCAGGCTTGCTGCTTTCCCCAAGGCATATTGCTTTGCTTCCGGCCACATATGGGCCACATCCACTGGCATTTAATGGCCCTTCAGTTTCTGGCTCAGAGTCCTCACTGGCCCATATTCATGAAGCATCTCCAAGTAGGAGTGCTGATCTAGGATCAGTTTAGCCTTTTACATCATAATGAATAAGATTACATGGACAGGGGGACCTGATCTCAGGTCAGCATTCCTACTCTGAGACATTTACTGTGTCTCTCTCCTAGTCCTTTGAGCGGGTGCTGGTGGAGAACAAGCTCCATGGGCTCTCCCCGGTGCTGTCCGAGGCCATCCAGAGCATCTCTCGCTGGGAGCTGGTCCAGGCCGCCCTGCCCCACGTGCTCCACTGCACCGCTGTCCTGCTCTCTAACAGGAACAAGCTGGGTAAACACACACACACACACACACACACACACAAATGGATGTAGACACGCATAGGTGGGGACACCCCCCCCCCCCCCCCCCCCCCGCCCCCCCCCTCCCACCTCACACACCCTCGCGTCCCATCACACCCATCAAACCTCTGACCCAGGGGTGTCAAACTTGTTTTGCCCAGCGGGCCGCATTCAGTCTTCACAGAGGTCCGGAGGGCCGCATTTAAAATTGATGATATTTCCTCGCCGACAAAATTTGTAAAAAATACTCCTCACTTTTTGAATTCTCGATGCTCCCTGACTGTCTAGCTTTCATTTGGATGACTGTTAACTAGCTGGACAGAGTGAAGAGACTATGAGTTGTAGGTCCATTATAATTTCTACACGGTTTCGGTTTGGTTTTATTCATTTCCATTTCCATTTCCATTAACATTGTTTTTTCATATATTTTTTTAAAAATAAAGGCATTAAGCGGATGGATTCTGTGCTCCGCGTAGCGTTCCCGGAAGTATTGCAATGTTGGACCTCTGGGTTTAGAAACTCTGTGCTCAAACCACCAGCGGGCCGGATTGAACGGGCCATATGTTTGACACCCCTGCATTGACCCCTCACCCCTAACCCCCACTCTAACCCCAGGTCACCAGGACAAGCTGGGAGTGGCGGAGACCAAGCTGCTCCATACCCTCCACTGGATGCTACTGGAGGCGTCCCAGGACTGTAACCAGGAGCCCAGCCTGGGCCATGGCTGGTCAGGGGGCAGCAGCAGCTCAGCCTTCCTCCAACCAATGGGGATGGGGAACCAGGGTTCCCCGCCAGCCAGAGGGGGCCAAGGTGGCCCAGGATCAGGCACCGGTTCTGGGTCAGGAGCGCCACGCCGCAGCGGGTCCCTGGAGGAGGATGAGCACGCCCGCACCAAGCTCTTCCACAAGAGCATGGCCACCGTGGAGCTGTTCGTGTTCCTCTTTGCTCCCCTCATTCACCGCATCAAGGTACCTATGATTCATCCTTCCTGCTGGACTATTCTCTATTGATCTGTGTGTGTGTAGATGCTGCGGTTGTGTTTCATGGCTCTGGGGAATGCTTTGGTTCCCTACTGTGTGTGTCTGTGTGTGTGTGTTTCTGTGTGTGTGTGTGTGTGTGTGTTTGTGTGTGTAAACTTAGTGTTTAGTGTCTCACTCTTAGAATGTAATTCTGTCCCTTTTCGCCGTGTCGTCTAGGAGTCTGACCTGACTTTCCGATTGGCCAGTGGTCTCGTCATATGGCAGCCAATGTGGGAGCACCGGCAACCTGACGTCCCCGCCTTCTCTGCCCTCATCAAGCCTGTGAGGAACATTGTTACAGGTGAGACTGATGACACCAAAGAAACCATGTAGTACTGACTATGGAATGATCTGAGTTATACTCTGCTGTTTTAAATGAGACATTAGTAAAATCCAAAATAAATACCATAATAAAAAAAGTGATATTCTATTGTATTCTACACTCTAGACCCTATAAGGGTTCTTCTGCCCTTTCCATAGAGGGTTCCTGGAACCGAAAAGGGTTATTCAAAGGGACCTCTTATGGGGACAGTCAAATAACCCTTTTTGGAACCATTTTTACTAAGAGTGTATTCTATTACATTCTATTCTATTCGATTCTATTCTGTAACCCACCACCTGTTTTGTCAACAGCCAAGAGGAACTCCCCGGTGAACAACCAGTGCAGCCCCTGTGGGTCCAGAAACCAAGGCCCCATGGTGAGTGTTCCTCTCAGGCAGCAGTGAGACAGCTGTACCCCTCCTCCAGCTCCCCTCTCCTCCTTCCCCCTTTCCACAGGGTCTCTGCTAATATTATGAACACTTCCCCTTCCTGGTATGATCAGTGTGTGTATGGAGCATCTGATTAGCAGAGACTAGAAGCATATTGACTGACAGGCTCTTGTTTTCTCTGTCTGCAGGGTTTCCAGGTGGTCTGTGAAACGGCCCATTCAGATTCATCCTCCCCCGGGGCCGGAGAGCAGAGCTGTCGCCGCGGCAACTCAGTGGAGAGAGGTGGGCCATCAACGCGACAGGCTCCACTTGACAAAGGGATCGCCAAGAAGAAGTAAGCCGTTATGAACTGTGCAGCTCACTCACTCACTCACTCATCACTCACTCACACACACATTGAGTGCTCATTCAAAGGTTCCACTCCATCCCTTGTGTATTATGATCAGTATAATGAGTGACAACAGAAATAGACACAGACAGAAACAGATCTGTCTCTCCCTCCCTGCCTGCTCTTACCAACGAGACACTTTACCCAGGGTAATGATGCTAAACTAACGTGGTGCATATCTAATGCTGGCACTGCCAGTGTGTGTGTGTGTGTGTGTGTGTGTGCATGTCTAATGCTGGCATTGCCAGTCTCCAACTCCCTGTGCCTTGGCCCAGGGCATCAGGCAGGCACATAGACATCGATCTGCCCACTGACCAACCTGATCCTCAGACCCAGTGCCCAATCAGTGCCCGCTTCAGGAGAGGAAGAATGATTTGAATTGAAATGATTTGGCATGCATCCAGTTAATGATAAATGAATGCAGTTTTAGGGTGAAACTGTGAGCCTTGAATACAAGAGTTTATACAACGGGCGGGTCTAATCCTGGACGCTGATTGGTTAAAACCGCATTCCAGCTGGTGTCTATTCCGCAAGTTACCACCAGCTAAAGCTATGATGTTCAAATGCCTATTTACTCTGTTCCATCTCACTGTGCAATCCACTGTCTCATCAGCCCAGCCAGACAATTTATAAACTTGATCTCCACTGTAAAAAGCATAGACTAGCAATTGGTTTTCAATAGTGGAGATTTGTATAAAACATGTGGTCTGTCTCTCTGACATTTGCAACATTGTTTTAATATTGAAATTCGATCTCCAGCTGTCCAATAGTAATGAACGTGTTGGGGTCAGGAGTCGGGACGAGACAGACAGGCAGCTTTTCTCAGCCAGTTGAAATCATGAATCAGCGGGCATCATTTTTATGGATAAATACAAATAAATGTCATTATAAACTGGGTGGAATGCTGATTGGTTGACAGACCGTATACCACGGGTATGACAAAACATTTATTTTTACCGCTCTAATTACGTTGGTAACCAGTTTATAAGACCAATAAGGCACCTCGGGGGTTTGTGCTATATGGCCAATATACAACGGCTAAGGGCTGTGTCCAGGCACTCAGCGGTGCGTCGTGCCATATACCACACCCCCTCATGCCTTATTGCTTAAACAGAAAACAGGTAAAACTAAACTAAATGCAGCTAGTTTGCAGTCTTTCCAGCTTCAGTTTGAAGTGATTGTGTTAGCTGTGTTGTTGACTAGCTCCTCTGAACAAGTGTCCTGACGAGAGCGCACATTTTATATGCCAGGCGAAATCGCGCATCATTAGCTCCTTCTTATGAAGGTATCCAAATAAAGTTGCTAGAAAACAGCTTAAACAAATGCAAATGGAGCTACTTTTTTGTTATTCTGACTGCACTGTTTGACCTTACTGTAAGTTAGCCGTAGTTGTTTAGCTAGCAAGCAAGGGATAAGAACGTTGCCAGCCAGTATGGCAATAGAACATTTAGAACGAACGACTGGGTTGCGTCCATAGATACAGAACAAAAATACTTAACTATTGGGTCGCGTCTCAGGCCTAACAACACCCGTGCCAATATATCCTCCAAACACCGGCTTCTTGGGCATTATCACTTAATGGTGTGTTCGAAAATTAAATCTGGAGTGCCAGATTAGTGGCCTCTGTGCGTTCGTAAATTCATAGCGTTGTGAGATTGTCAGTTCGTAAATTCAGAGCGTTTGGCTCTCAGAGTGTTCAGAGCGCACACTGGACGCCTTGGCCGAGGAGTAGGGTTGATTCGAGTGCTCTGGCCTCACAACGGAAGTCAAGCACCCAAGCTAACTGGCTAACGTTGGCTAGCTTGCTAGCTACTTCCAGACATTTTACTTGCCCTAGCAGAGCTGGTTAGGCTGTTTTCATGTTATCCAGAGCGTTGGTGACTGTAACTGTGCTGCTGGCAACAATGTAATTACATTTTTTTGCCGACATTTACTGACACCCGTCATATTCAACGGGTGTTGCCCGTTCGTAAATTCATCAGTTATTCTGTGCTCTGACACACTTAGAAGAGAGTGCTCTGAAATAGGACTAGATAGCCAGAGTGAATTTTCGAACGCGCCCTAAGTATGCCATAGAATTAGAAATTAGAATACTAGAATGGACATGAACCTTCTTATGATGGGATAAAGGTCAGCCATTTTGGTCAGGGAGTTGTTCAACCATGATTTGCCAGTGCTGTGACAAGATATTGTGTAAAATAATGAATTTGAATAATTTATCTGCACTGTATGTTTGTTAGCTAGCTAGCCAGCCAGTTTTAGAGGAATGATTCTATTAATTTTTCAAATTAACTGCCAATATGCCAACATTTCATTCAAACAATGAAATCTGTTGATGATAGGACTTAGACAAGTACTGATATTGTATCATATAATAGCACTTTCCAAGAAAGGAAACATTTAGAAATGTATGGTCTGTTTACATATATTTTAGAGCCAATATATACAGAACATTTGTATAAAACACGTATAAACTGTATTTATAATTATATGACAATATTTGAGGTTGACAATAATTATATTACACAATGTCTGATATATCACATGCCTTACTTTTATTGTCCTGCATAAGTAAAATCAGGATTCTGCCTCTGCTGCCATTCATTCCAATTAGACTGGTTTGGATTTCTCCCTGACCAATATGGCTGCCATTTTCAACCCATTTTGGAACTTTTATGGTTTATGTCATAGCCCCTCTAGTAATTTAATAGGATCTCTATGGTGTGTGCATTCAATAATACATCACATTCAATCATAGGTTCCGTCAGGCGCGGACTGGGACCAGAAATCGGCCCTGTCATTTCTAACACACCGGACCATTTTTTTCCTCGAGGACCCCACACCGGCCCATTTTTTTTCCTTGAGGCCCCCTGGGCTAAAAATTGATCAGCCCATCTGGCATTTGCCCGAAATGCCAGAGGGCCAGTCCGCCCCTGTGTTACGTCATCGTAGTTGGTTAATTTAATGTGGATATTGGGTATGGAGAATGAGCGAGATGTGTCCCAGCCATCCTCACCTTAATGCATTGTGACAGCAGATTGAAACGATCCATCTCTCTTCATGAGATTCACGTTCATAGGACTTCCAGCTGTGAATCAAAATAAGCTCTCTCCCCTGATTAATACAACTGACGTACAGCTCCAGTGTTGCCATGCACTCCAATCACTCCTTTCCACTGTGATGCGGTGCTGCTGCAGTTTCCATGGCAACCCCTGCTGCTGCATCTCCGCAATGGAGGGAGTCGGGGCTGGGCAGTGTCTCTCCTGGGGGTGGGTGTATGTACGTAACTCAGTCACCACAGCAACCTCTCCACAACACCAACCGAAAGCTGTGTGTGAGTATGTCGTCTAGACAGTGTAACACGATACTGCTCCCGCGTCCTGTTCTCTGCCATTGATTCTCCTAGTATTGACCGTCTCAACCCGACTCAGTTTAATAGTACAGCTAAGATGAAATGCTTTACCCTCCCACCCTCCCTCCCTCCTCCCTCCCTCTGCTTTCACTACAGTATAAATCTCATTCTATCGTTGTGGTGCGGTGTAGCCCTGTATATCGGCTCCTTTGCCGTGCACCAGGGCTGTATTCATAAGGCATCAAATGTAACCAAAACAGATTGAAACAGGGAGGGACTCCTTGAGCATGTCCAATAAGAAAAGCTAGTTTCGTGTCCCATTGTAAAATGTTTTGCTACAGTGTGTCTTAATAAATATGACCCACCAACCAGTGACCTTCATCTCTGCTGCTGAGTTAAAGTCTTATTGATAGTGGGCTCACGTAGGCTGAACATCCAGTCTCTAGATCTCCACTCTCCACAGAAATACATGCTACAGGGCCTTGTTGTTTAACATATTCTGTTGATGTGGTATTAAATGATGAACGTGGCCGGAAATTATGGGGACTGGTAATTGTATTAGAGGCGGATGGAAGTGATTTGATTATTTCAGTCAGAGATTTACAGATTGTTCTTTGCATAGCTAGAACATAATATTAGTCAACAATCTAGTTTTTTGGAGGGGCTGATTTGACAATTTGAGCTCAGTTAGGCTGCTTACAAATCATAAACTATAGTAACAAGTCCTGCCTGCCTTTAACAATTATTCGCAAAAGCATGAAATTCTCTTCCAATTTTCTTTGGGATCTAGGCCGGGTTACTGTAAGGCACATTGCGATAACTGCTGATGTAAAAATGACTTTTCAGATTCAGGTCACTAACTTCCATCCCTCCCACTCTCTCTCCCCCTCCCTCCCTCTCTCCCCCTCCCTCTCTCCCCCTACCTTGTCTCCCCCAGGACCTCTGCCCCCGCGGGCATCTCAGTCTCCCTGGCCCAGCGTGCCCGCTACGCCACCTACTTTGACGTGGCAATACTGCGCTGCCTGCTGCAGCCCCACTGGACGGAGGAGGGGGTGCACTGGGCGCTCATGTTCTACCTGCAGCGCCTGCGTCAGATCCTGGAGGAGCGCCCGGAACGCCCCCTGGAGCCACTGGTCCCGCCCCTGCCCCGCCCGCGCAGCAGCTCTATGGTGGCCACCACCCCCTCTCTCGTCAACACCCACAAGACACAGGTGGGTTATAACCACAGTGTTTATGTACATCGTTAGTTAATACTACAGTATTATATGGTGTTATAACTACAGTACTGTAAACCCACAAGACACAGGTGGGTTATAACCACAGTGTTTATGTACATCGTTAGTTAATACTACAGTATTATATGGTGTTATAACTACAGTACTGTAAACCCACAAGACACAGGTGGGTTATAACCACAGTGTTTATGTACATCGTTAGTTAATACTACAGTATTATATGGTGTTATAACTACAGTACTGTAAACCCACAAGACACAGGTGGGTTATAACCACAGTGTTTATGTATATCGTTAGTTAATACTACAGTATTATATGGTGTTATAACGACAGTACTGTAAACCCACAAGACACAGGTGGGTTATAACCACAGTGTTTATGTATATCGTTAGTTAATACTACAGTATTATATGGTGTTATAACGACAGTACTGTAAAGCCATAAGACACAGGTAATAAGTAGTAGTATTTGTAGTAAAACTAATAGAAATGGTACATTTCATACAACAGTTCAATGCCCTAAATAGTAGAATGCCCTATATAGTAGGGAAAGGGGGATACCTAGTCAGTTGTACAACTGAATGCATTCAACTGAAATGTGTCTTCCGCATTTAACCCAACCCCTCTGAATCAGAGAGGTGCTGCCTTAATCGACATCCACGGCGCCCGGGGAACAGTGGGTTAACTGCCTTGCTCAGGGGTAGAAAGACAGATTTTTACCTTGTCAGCTCGGGGATTCGACCCAGCAACCTTTTGATTACTGGCCTAATGCTCCTACCCGCCAGGCTACCTGCCGCCCACTATATAATGCCCTATGTAGTATAATGCCCTATATAGTATAATGCCCTATGTGGTATAATGTCCTATATAGTATAATGCCCTATATAGTATAATGTCCTATATAGTATAATGCCCTATATAGTATACTGCCCTATATAGTATAATGCCCTATATAGTATAATGTCCTATATAGTATAATGCCCTATATAGTATAATGTCCTATATAGTATAATGCCCTATATAGTATAATGTCCTATATAGTATAATGCCCTATATAGTATAATGTCCTATATAGTATAATGCCCTATATAGTATAATGTCCTATATAGTATAATGCCCTATATAGTATAATGTCCTATATAGTATAATGCCTTATATAGTATAATGTCCTATATAGTATAATGCCTTATATAGTATAATGCCCTATATAGTATAATGTCCTATATAGTAGCTCTTATTACGGTATTATCAAGTCGTCCAGGTTTTCCCATAGTTATGCCATCTTAAATACTGTATATGAACAAAGTCGACTGTCTCTGTACAGTAAAACGTCCTATTGCTACAATATCTATCTGATTGACAGCTGTCATTCACCCTTGACCCCTGTGCTCTGTGCCCATATAAGGACATGAGTCAGAAATGCAACGAGGAGGATAAGTCCCTCAGCTCAGAGACCTTCTCTAAGGTGTCTCTGACCAACCTGCGCAGACAGGCTGTACCCGACCTCTCCTCTGACCTGGGGATGAACCTCTTCAAAAAGGTGAGATGAATGGAGATACTGTAGACCCATATACAAGTTGTAGAATCTAGCTTTATTGTAATATGGCATCTGAAAAGCATGTGTGATTTATATTGTCTTTCTATTAGCCTCACTCTTTCTCTGTCTCTCTTTCTCTCTAGGTAATCTATCATTGTCTTCTTTGTCCATGTAAATCATTTCAAACATTTTTCTCCCTTTTGTTCCTTTTACACTTTAATATGTTTCGACCTCTAAATCAACGGCTCAGTTTACCATTATACGCAGCTGACTCTTCCAAGGTCGAAACCAAATCAACACTACACAACCCTGCAGAAGTTGGAACATTTAGAATAAATGTGTTTGTCTTGTCTCTCCTCCTACTGACTGTGGTACAGTTCAAGAACCGGCGGGAGGACCGCGAGCGTAAGGGCTCCATCCCGTTCCACCACACGGGCAAGAAGCGCCAGCGCCGCATGGGCGTGCCTTTCCTGCTCCACGAGGACCACCTGGACGTGTCACCCACCCGATCTACCTTCTCCTTCGCCAGCTTCTCTGGCGACGACCGGCGGGCGCTGGAGCGTGGGGGCTGGCAGGCTACCATCATGGGTACCATACCAGATCTGGGTTCAAACACTTTTTGAAATTCTGTGAAATATGTTTTAGCATTTGTGTGTTAGCGTTTGATTGAGCGCTTCCTTTAGCCTGCCTGGAGTGTCAGATGGGCGGGGTTTGCAGTTTTGCGACTTTTCTATTGGTTCCATTGCACCAGGCAAGCTCAATCAAGCTCAGCTAAAGTATTTGAAATGATTTCGAATAGTATTTGAACCCAGGTCTGTATATGACCAACACCACCCACTCACTGTTTTATCTCTCTGTCTTTCTACTGATAGATCTATCTCTGTCTCTATCAATATATTTTACTATTCATGTCTATCCATCTATTGATATATCTATTTTCTATCAATAGAAACTTAAAATGTACAGGGAAAATAACTGTAGCCTGTATAGTAAAAGGAATGTAAAGGAGGACATGCCCTGGTACTGTTTGTTGCTGGTATGTTGTTGTGTGTGAGGGTTCCATCTCTTCCTACAGGCCTAGTCCTCTGGCTCCCATTAGCTGAGTCAGAGGAGTTAGTCACCTGACAGCAGCAGAACTGGGTCAGCCTCATTAACTTAATGTTTGTCTGGTGGTTAGGAAAGGCTGTTGCTGTTAATGTTTCGCAAAAGGTGCACAGAAAAAGGGACCTTCTCATTCAAAAGTAACCGTTTGTTTAAAAGCCCTATACTTTTGGCCCTACTTTTGTAATGGAAAGATGTGGGTTAACTGGTTGGATGTGGTATGCATTGTTTTGTGGCAATGTGAGGGAGCTCATTTGGCTATTAAGCAGTCTTATAAGGCAGGGTAGTGGAACGTGAGTTTGGTTGTCTGAATGAGTGTGTGTTTGGATGTAATGGTGTGTGTTGGTGTCTTTCACTCAGAGTTGTGTGTTTGGTGGTGTTTTAGGTAAGTTGACGCGGCGAGGGAGCTCAGACACGGCTGCAGACGCAGACAACCTGAGCGCTAAACACTCACACTCCCATCACTCCCTGCTCAGAGACATGCCAGACCACTCCAACAGCCACGGCGACAACACCGTACACGCCAAGGGGGAGGGTAAGAGTCTATACACCCACAACACCGTACACACCTAGGGGGAGGGTAAGAGAGTCCATACACCCATATGCTGTCATCACCCACAGTTACAGTTGAAGTCGGAAGTTTACATACACTTAGGTTGGAGTCATTAAAGCTTGTTTTTCAACCACTCCACACATTTCTTGTTAACAAACTATAGTTTTGGCAAGTCGGTTAGGACATCTACTTTGTGCATGACACAAGTCATTTTTCCAACAATTGTTTACAGACAGATTATTTCACTTATAATTCACTGTATCACAATTCCAGTGGGTCAGAAGTTTACATACACTAAGTTGACTGTGCCTTTAAACAGCTTGGAAAATTCCAGAAAATGATGTCATGGCTTTAGAAGCTTCTGATAGGCTAATTTACATAATTTGAGTCAATTGGAGTTGTACCTGTGGATGTATTTCAAGGCCTACCTTCAAACTCAGTGCCTCTTTGCTTGACATCATGGGAAAATCATCCACAAGTCTGGTTCATCCTTGGGAGCAATTTACAAACGCCTGAAGGTACCACGTTCATCTGTACAAACAATAGTACGCAAGTATAAACACCATGGGACCACGCAGCAGTCATACCTCTCAGGAAGGAGATGTGTTCTGTCTCCTAGAGATGAACATACTTTGGTGCGAAATGTGCAAATCAATCCCAGAACAACAGCAAAGGACCTTGTGAAGATGCTGGAGGAAACAGGTACAAAAGTATCTACAGTAAGACGAGTCCTATATCGACATAACCTGAAAGGCCGCTCAGCAAGGAAGAAGCCACTGCTCCAAACCGCCATAAAAAAGCCAGACTACGGTTTTCAACTGCACATGGGGACAAAGATTGTACTTTTTGGAGAAATGTCCTCTGGTCTGATGAAACAAAAATAGAACTGTTTGGCCATAATGACCATCGTTATGTTTGGAGGAAAAAGGGGGTTACTTGCAAGCCGAAGAACACCATCCCAACCGTGAAGCACGGGGGTGGCAGTATCATGCTGTGAGGGTGCTTTGCTGCAGGAGGGACTGGTGCACTTCAGAAAATAGATTCGAAATTCGAAAATTATGTGGATATATTGAAGCAACATCTCAAGACATCAGTCAGGAAGTTAAAGCTTGGTCGCAAATGGGTCTTCCAAATGGGCAATGACCCCAATCATACTTCCAAAGTTGTGGCAAAATGGCTTAAGGACAACAAAGTCAAGGTATTGGAGTGGCCATCACAAAGCCCTGACCTCAATCCTATAGAAACTGTATGGGCAGAACTGGAAAAGCGTGTGCGAGCAAGGAGGCCTACAAACCTGACTCAGTTACACCAGCTCTGTCAGGAGGAATGGGCCAAAATTCACCCAACTTATTGTGGGAAGCTTGTGGAAGGCTACCCGAAACGTTTGACCCAAGTTAAACAATTTAAAGGCAATGCTACCAAATACTAATTGAGTTTATGTAAACTTCTGACTCACTGGGAATTTGATGAAAGAAATAAAAGCTGAAATAAATAATTCTCTCTACTATTATTCTGACATTTCACATTCTTAAAATAAAGTTGTGATCCTAACTGACCTAAGACAGGGAATTTTTACTAGGATTAAATGTCAGGAATTGTGAAAAACTGAGTTTAAATGTATTTGGCTAAGGTGTATGTAAACTTCCGACTTCAACTGTATGAACTGAATACCTTCAATTAAATATTCATCCATCCATCCATCCATCCATCACTCCATTCATCACTCCATCCATCCATCCATCACTCCATTCATCACTCCAACCATCACTCCATCCATCCATCATCCATCACTCCATCCATCACTCTATTCATCCATCCATCCTTCCATCCCTCCATCATCCATCCATCCCTATCCATCCTTCCATCCCTCCCTCCAGCCATTCATCCATCCAAAATATTGATTATCTCTAAATCTGTGAATGTCTCCTCCCCCTCTCCTCCTCTCCTCCTCTCCTCCCACCCCTCTCCCCCAGTGCGTTCACAGATTTCCACCATCACCATGGCGACATTCAACACCACAGTGGCGTCCTTCAACGTGGGCTACGCCGACTTCTTCACCGAGCACATGAAGAAGCTGTGCAACCCTGTGCCCATTCCTGAGATGCCAAGCGAGCCGCTGGCATGCGCCAACCTGCCCCGGAGCCTCACCGACTCGTGCATCAACTACTCATGCCTGGAGGAGGGAGACAACATTGAGGGCACCAACAACTTCATCCTGAAGAATGGCATGCTGGACCTTACGGTGAGTGGCAGTGAAAAAGAGCGCCACCTGTTGGTCGGAGGTCTCTGACAGGGTTTCTGTACTGGAGGAATGACCAGGGATCACTACATACTACACCACAGCTCCAATATCATGCGTCACACTACCATGTCATTGCTAAACCATTGGGTTTTATTGACAATTTAGTCATTTAGAAGACGCTCTTATCCAGAGTGACTTACAGTTAGCGCATTCATCTTAAATTTAAGGTAGCTAGATGAGACAACCACATATCACAGTCAAGTAAATGTCCTGCCTGGTTCCTGTCTGGTTCCTGCCTGGACAACACTTGGGGAGGAATTAGTAGGGAAGCTTGGGAGAATGTTGGATTTATGGATGGATGGATGGATGATGGATGGATGGTGTGTTGGATGGATGCTCTTCATTTGACTGTGTCCAACCCCTGACACTCACCCATCTGTCTCCCTTCGTCTCCCCGTCTACTCCCTCCCAGGCCATCCTGCGGGCGGTCTACGCCGTGCTGACCCATGACATCAGCTCACGGATCTGTGACGTGTCGCTCAACATCATCGACTGCCTGCTACAGCTGGGGGTGGTGCCAGGCATGGGCAAGAAGCTCTCCAAGCCCGACGACAAGGAGAATGATGAGACACGCCTCCCAAAGGAGGGGGCCAATCAGGGCCTGGGTGTTGCCCAAGGGGGTGTTTCTGGAGGGTGCAGTGGGGCGGCGCCAGGGGGAGGGGGTGGAGGAGGAGGAGGGGATGGAGGAGGAGGAGGTGGGGGAAGTGGAGGAGGGAGCGGAGGAGGGAGCAAGGATGACGTGAAGAACAACAAGGAGAAAGACAGCAAGGTGGGTGTGAGAATACGTCTATGAGTTTTGAACGTACATTTATCTTTCAACTGATCTCATTTCATATGCCGTACGTTGGAGAAACGGGAAAATGTCGCCGCACACTTCCAGTCAGATGCATATTTATTTCATTGTGGCTGAGCTTCCGGTCAGTCGACCTTCATCAGAGCAGGTCTCCACAAACTATAGCGGGACAGAATGTCACAGAGAGAGACATAGATAATTACAGACACCTGTGGTAATCTAAAGTACCCCAAAGGACCACTAGATCAGGGGTATTCAACTCTTACACTACGAGGTCCGGAGCCTGCTGGTTTTCTGTTCTACCTGATTAATTGCACACACCTGGTGTCCCAGGTCTAAATCGGTCCCTGATTAGAGGGGAACAATGAAAAAAATGCAGTGGAACTGACTTCGAGGTTCAGAGTTGAGTTTGAGGGCACTAGATAATATCATAATATCAGATAGAAATACAAATATTAGATACGATAGACGATATTATATATGTCATTCTACTAGAACAAAACACAAAATAAAACGTGTTAGTATAAGTAATATGGCCATAACCTGTCAACTTTTGTGAATTTTATATGTAGCATTTATTTCCTATGCCTTCTCTTTAACTCCAAGGAGGAAGGCTCTTCACTGAGTACCCACAGGCTGGCTCTCACCATGCTCATCAAGATGGTCAAGTCTCTGGGTTGTGCTTACGGCTGTGGGGAGGGCCACAGAGGACTCTCAGGGGACCGCCTCCGCATGCAGGTCCGACAACTCACAGATTGCCCCTTTAACAAGGTTTAATTAAATGTACTTTATTTAGTTATATATTTATATTTTCATTGAGGTAAAACTTATTTCGCAAGAGAGAGACCTGGTCCAAGAAACAGTAGCAATTGACAACATAGAACCTGTTGGATTTATTAGGGGCTTTATCAGAGTGAATAGAAACCACCATCCGGTTGAGATAGGTGGTGTTTGAATCTGAGACATCCGCCATTTTGGATCTACTGTTCCCCTTGTTCGCCATACAGGCCCAGCACTGCCTGACCAACCTGTACAAGCTGGACAAGCTGCAGTTCCGTCAGACCATGAGGGACTACGTCAACAAGGACTCGCTCAACAACATCGTGGACTTCCTGCATGCACTCCTGGGCTTCTGCATGGAGCCCATCACCGACAGTAAGTGTTTGTGAGGCATGCCCGGATGTGTGCGTGTTGCTATGTAGTCACGGCTAGCCACACACAGCAGCCTCACCCCCCCCCCCCCCCCCCCCCCCTCAACCTCTCTGATGGTAGGACTGATAAAGCATGTCACACTACGCAACTCGTCCAATCAGCCTCCACTGACATCACACAATTCACTGCTCACTCTTGTTTGTCAATGCAGAGGGATTTGTATTATTCTCCAAAATCATTCAAAAAATTAATAAATAGAAAACAATTTAATCATAAAGTGTTTTGAAATGCTCTGGGATTAATTTGCAATCAGGTGAATTGGTGAGTTGCGTGAGTTGCCTTCTCTAAAACTAAATCATACATTTTGTCATTTGTAATTCATTCTAATCTATCACAACAATCAAATCACACTAAACATATAAATTAATGAATGTATAATCACATTCTTATTGCAATCATTAAAATGTAAGGTCCAGCAGTGTATCAATCTCCAGATTAAAAAACAAACAGGAGAGAATGAGATTGACAGACGACTAATACTTGCTTAAAATGTCTTATACCATAATCCAGTCCACTCTGCTCCACGATGCTGAATCTGACCTCTCTCATACCTCGACTGCATCCCAGAGCTCTCATTGTTTGCCTACCGGCTGTCTCTCTGTTTCTGTGTCTGTTCTGTCGCCCTCCCTCCCTCCCGCCACTCATCTCAACTGTCCCGCCTTCCCTCCCTCTGTCCTGCTCTCCTCTCCTCTTCCTGTTCCCCCCATCCACCTAAACAAGCAATGTTCCCCTCCTCCCTTCACTCGCTCATCCACTCTGTACACTTGCCAATCCGATGCTGTGTGGTGCTCATCACATCTCTATCTATGGCTTTATGGCTCAACATGAATTAAAAACCGTAATGACTGTAATAGCATATCTCTATTTTTGTGAGTGAAATGACCACTTGATTTTCTGATTGAACTGTATCATTGGCAAGTTACCGAACTGATGGGGGCTTTATTAACGAAAGTGCACGGGTCACCCCTTTTAGGTTCTTTATTGTAATTCAGTTAAGTGGTGTGAGTCCATGTGTACGTGTGTGCGTGTGTGTGCTTTTGTGTGCGTGTGTACTGTAAATTCACCTACGTCCGGTGGTGTGGGGGTGCCGTGTCACGTACATGTGTGTGCTGCTGGCCTGACCATCATCAACTTGTGTACCGCATCTCTTCTCTTGCAGAGTACGGCAATGCAGGTGAGAGGTCCAGGAGGGCGAAAAAAAGAACCATCGGTAGATACACTAATATCTAAATAAACTGCCCCAATCAGACCACCATTCCTTCTAGGCACTGCTCCCATTTCTGCACACCATCACTCTTGTCTAAAGTGGCAATCTAATCTATCTAATCTATCGATCTATCAATCTATCTAATCTATCTAATCTATCTAATCTATCTAATATATTTTATCTATCAATCTATCTAATATATCTAATCTATCAATCTATCCAATCTATCTAATCTATCAATCTATTTTATCTATCTAATCTATCTAATCTATCAATCTATCCAATCTATCTAATCTATCTAATCTATCGATCTATCAGTCTATCAGTCTATCTAATCTATCCAATCTATCCAATCTATCAATCTATCAAATCTCTCTCTCTCTCCTCTCCTCTCCTCTCGTCTCGCTCTCTCTCCTCTCTCCTCTCTCTCTCTCTCTCTCTCTCTCTCTCTCTCTCTCACACTCTCTCTCTCTCTCTGTCTCTGTTATCCTC